ATTCCGAAGAAGCTCACTGGAGAGTACCAAGAGGAAGTTGGGGGGAGAGTAAGTGCCCAGCTGTCCTCTGGTAATGTGAGTCTGTGTCTTTCTCACTGAAGAGTGCCTGGTGGATATTGGAAGGAGGCAACCGATGATCCTGCGGCATTGTAAGTGACCTGTGTACTGGGTCATCGTGACTGTGTGTAGCTCTTAGTTCTTTGGAAGAAGACATAGTCGCCTGTGAGCAGAAGGGAGTCATGTGGGACTTTTTGGGTTGTTTAGTGTAATAGAGAAGAGTCCTCATAGAATTCAGTTCAACAGTTTGGTGTATCCCATGCTTCCTTCACCTCATCCAAGTTCAACTTTACAATAAAGCATCAAAAGACACCCCTAGACTGATTTGAGCCAGTGTAAGTGGAGAAAATTCTGTGTGCCTGGCTGTGTGTGCAGTAGTTGAGGGGAGCAGAGAGTTCACCAGTGGCCCCCTAGGGGGGGTGCTCTACACATGTGTATCTATAACAGATGTACAGATACAGACGCCAGGGTACTAGGTGTTACCCTAGACTCCAATCTGTCCTTTCAGCCCCAGGTCCAATTGCTGACAAACTCATGTAGAATTCACCTACGCAACATCTCCAACATCACCTACGCAAGATACGCCCGTTCCTAACCTCGGAAACCACTAAGCAACTTATTCACTCCCTTATCATATCACGCCTCAACTACTGTAACTCCCTCCTCACTGGCCTACCTCATCGCAGGCTATCCCCACTCCAGTCCATCATGAATGCTGCTGCCAGACTCATCCACCTTACTAACCGTTCTGTATCTGCCACCGCTCTCTGCCAATCCCTCCACTGGCTCCCAATTGCCCAACGGATAAAATTCAAAACACTAACACTGACGTATAAAGCCGTTCATAACACTGCCCCTAATTACATCACCGACCTTGTCTCTAAATACCACCCAAACCGTCCTCTCCACTCCTCGCAAGACCTCCTACTCTCTAGCTCCCTTGTCTCCTTCTCCCATGCCCGTCTCCAGGAGATCTCAAGGGCTTCACCCATCCTCTGGAACTCCTTACCCCAATCTATCAGGCTATCGACTACTCTGCTCACTTTTAGGCGCACTCTGAAAACCCATCTCTTCAGGGAAGCCTACCCCGACCCCAGCTAATACTGGAATCCTCTACTCTTCCTACCACTCCATCCCCCACAGCTAATTACCTCTTGTACCACTATCCCCTCCCTCCTAAATTGTAAGCTCCAAGGATCAGGGCCCTCTAATCCCTCTTGTATTGAACTGTATTGTTACTGTACTGTCTCCCTCCATAATGTAAAGCGCTGAGCAAACTGTCGGCTCTATATAAGTCCTGTATAATAATAATAAAATAATAATGTCAGTGCTAGGAAGAGAGAACATCAGGACATTCAACAATAATAAACATCTACTGTACCTACAATTCCATGGGTAAAATTTCCCTGCTATGGTTAATGGTTCTCCCTCGTCTCACCCTAGCATGGGAGTTCTCTATAATATAAAATAACAATTAAAGATGGCCCCCAGCCAACTGAAATCTTACTTCAAGTCAAATAAAATCCATGGTTATGTATTAGAGCCCCTGTTTTCAATGGTGGAGCCCACATGGGTATTCATTGGTGCAGGAACCATGCAGGAAGTCCTGTTCATGTCATTTGGGATGCAGAGGCTGCATGGACACAGGCAATGCTCCCAATTTGACATCTGTATGATTTGCACAGCCCATAATGGAGACAGTGTACACTCAGGACCATGCACCCACACCTGCATGGATGTCATATTGGGAGTATCCACTGTGCCTGTATAGCCTCTGCATTTCTATTGACATGAATGGGACTACCTGCACAGGGATGCATGAAATACCTGTACATCCCTATGTGGGTAAACACGGCATGGGCCTGTAGTACACCCCGTGTAAATGAGTCCTTTCTCTTCAGCCTCCACCCAATATTGAAATATCAGTTTTTAGGTGCACTGACTCTTTAAAGTAGAATCCTATTCAAAACCATTTGTATCCCCTCTGGGGAGGGTCTTCCTTTCTTCCTGTGTGGTTACTGGTACAAGACATGAAAGGAACCTCTCCAATGGGGACTCAGATGGCCATATCTTCTTAGTAGGTCATGTGGCAGGTTAAACTTTTCATCTGTGCTCAATCAAGCCTTGCAAAGTCTTCTGATTCTCCTCAGTTACATCCCTGGAGTTAATCCAGATTATTAAGCGATGGCATGTGAAGATTACAGCCGATACGGCAGACTCTACCACGTTCCAAACCGCAGTGCGGTTTAGAGTGTCCATTGCTGCATATTCATGGGGGGCTTTTTGTCATTCCAGCAAAGTGGAGGATGGGCAGCGGCCACCTTCCCTCCGACCTTTGATGTGCGCTTCCCGCAGACGCCAACATGGCAAGCTACATTTTGCCCCCCGCTGCTGAGAGAGCGTGCTGGATTACATTAACTAAATATACGTAGCAGCCAAAAATATCAGCGCTGTGACCAGAAGGGGCTCTGATACTTCCTAGTTCCTGGTCATCGGCAATGCACATGCTGTAGATGTATGTCGAGATGTTTCCTCATTACCGGCCTGTGTGTTATATCCTGATCCAGTATTTCTACAGCTGCCCTATAGATGTTCGTCTCTGTCCTATGTTAAAGAGGAACTATCAATACTATCAAACTTTCAATGCTGAGAGCAGCATCAGTAATTTGTCTCAGATCAGATTTAAGTCTTTATTTCTAATAAATCAGTGGTAGGCACATATCCTTTAAGACAGTGGTCTCCAAACTGCGGCCCAGGGGCCGGATGTTGCCCTTTGCTTGCTTTCATCCAGCCCTTGGGGCACTATTTCACCCACTAACACCAACAAAGGGATACAATTCCTACCAATGACACCAACGATGGGGCACAGTTCATTCCAATGATACCAACAATGGGGCCCAGTGACACCAATGTTGAGGCACAATTCCTCCCAATAACACCATAAATGGGGCACAATTCCTCTCACTGACACCACCTGAGCCCCATCGCGATCCAGCGATGTGAATGACAACCTCAGCTGTCCCGGGTCTCTGCCTTCTCATTGGCTCAGAAAGCAATGGGGCATTGCTTACTCCCACTGATGCCAGGACATTTTCTACTCCCGATGGCCATGGTCCGGCCCTGCTAAAGACTGACGGACAGTAAATTGGCCCTTTGTTTATAAAGTTTGGAGACCCTTGCTTTAAGAGCTACAACTCTTAGTATGCACCACTGGCTGGGTTCATTGATTTGGATCAGTGATAGGGTTACAATTCCCAGCAGGCACTGACAGCCCAGACCTGTATAGCCTGTCTTTGTCTGTCTTTCAATGTCGATCTATTTGTAGTCACTCTTGCAAGGTGGAGGCCAATCATGTCTTTGTGTCCAGCTACCTGTCTGATGTCCCCCAATGTAACAGCCAGAATAGAGGACGAGTGGGGGGACTGTAGTCTTTATGGTTTATCTATTGGTCAGTGAACAGTGTGTCGCTTGACCTTGATCTGCATTGCATACAAATATTTGTACATTGCACATTCACCGGCTCATGCTCCGTCTGATGTTTTTGGGTTGAAGCACGAATCAAAATGGAGAAGGAAGGGAGCCGTGTCTCCTGACGGCTGTTCTCATTCATGGCATTTAGCGGATTACATGAAAGTTGTCCTATGGTTTCCAACTTGCAATGAGAAAAGGCAGCTTGTGTTCCTGGCATCTCCTGACTACACTTACTAGTGAGCACTCCCAGCTGCTGGTCCTTGTGATCGATCATCCTTCATGGCTGGGGCCTGCTCTCCATCCCTAGCAAAAATCACGTCTTTTCTATTCAGTTCAGTATAGACTTTAGTTTCACAGGTCAGTTCCATCAAAACTGATATTTAGGGTTTGCTTGATTAGTGGTGGGGTTCAATCACGTCTGCTTTGTATTCAGGGCAGCAGAGATAACTCTGTTAGGATTCCCAGTGCTGCCCCAACTGCCATAGCTAATACAAGACCTAATGGTGGTGTCTTCCTGATGGGTTCTTCCGAAATCCTGTATCCATCCAAAATCTTTTTACGTTTTTAGGCAGAGTGGGGAAGAATTTAATTTATCCACCAGGTTTTATTTCTGTTTGTCCTTTGGGGAGATTTTCCCTCACTTCCTGTCCATGTGACACCTGTACCCAATATTGGGGAGAGTGGTTGTCACCAGGACAGAAAGATGGAAAGTGCAATCAGGAAGTTCTGCTAAGAGTGTGTTATTGTCTTTGTACCCAGTGGAGAGATTTTACACCATTTCCTGTCCTGACAGGACGTGAAGTGAAATCTCCTTAGTAGAGGCACACGTAATAACACATTCTTAGTAGACTAGGTAAAAGTTTGAAATTGTCCTGGTATCCCACGGACAGGAAGTGAGGACAAATCTTCCCAACCGGGACCCATGTGGCAATAAAAACCTGACAGAGGAGATAATTCTTTCTTACGTCACCTATAACAAAAGGTAAATATTGGCTGGAGTTGGAGAAATAAGGAGACCAGTGGGACTGTGACATCCTCAGTCCAGTAAGCATGTGGTACCTTCACATGGACTATATGTGATGATGTGGAGATGCAAAGCCCTGCATGGGAAATTTAGGCACTGACACCTTCAAAATGTCTAGGAAACCATGGAAATACCACAAACTGACATACCAGATTTAGGTGGCTTTGTCCTGTAAGGGTCACATTTCCTTGTGTCTCCCCTACCATTACTTTCCCTGTAGGGTAGAGTAATTATTATGCTACAGTTATATAGCACCATCATATTCTGCAGTGTTGTACAATCTGGGGAAGTCACATGAAACATGCAAAGGTTTACATAACCTAAACTGTGAAAGAAGGTTGAACTCAAGAGCTTACAATCTAAGGGACATGAAATAAGTTTTGAATAACTTTTCTGAACAGAAATTTTCCATTGTACTTCCTTCATTGGTGTTTTGGTTTATCCTCAGCCCATTTGACAGCAGCAAGGTCCTGACTACACCTGGAATGAGCAACAAGCTCTCATCAAGCGCCCGGAGAGTGTCTATGTACCACTGGACTCCACCCAACACACCCAGCTTCCGCGACAAGTTCTACCTTGTGAGTATCATCAGTGGTTCTGCTCATAGAGGCGGTGGAATGCCACACACTTTTGTGCCTAAATGAACCAGTTTTGTGCTCTGCCATTTTTTTTTTAATTAAATTAAGCAAATAATAAACAAAAACACCAATGAATACAACTGTCTACATGTAGCTTGGATGCAGCTAGTATAAGTACCTGAGTCTTGATATTAGCCACTTGCAATCCTCTGTACAGCAACACTCAGACTGGGAGAGGGGGGGGGGGGCAACATTAGGTCTAGTCAGGTGTCCTGAAAGCACATGAGCTGACAAAGAGCATGCTGACAGGAGAGAGTAGAGAGCTGACCTCATCCATCTGTTGCTGCTTCATCACTGTCCAGTCCCACAAATCCAAAGGATCTGCACAGCGGAGAAAACTCAAATATTGGTAACTTTATTCATCCAGACAACATCAACAGAGAATCCCCACCTGGAGCCTCCCAATAGGCTGGACCTAATGTGACAGTAAAAGAAAAAAAAATGCCCCCCTTCCCCCACGGGTTTAAGTCATAATGTACTAGTAAGCACCTCACACTAGCACATTATGACAGACTTGACTGTCATAACGTGCCCTTCAGTGCTGTGGTGTCAGCAATCCTGTATGTTCTGGGTGCCTCCATCTTCATTCCATTTGAATGGCTAGGCCACGATGACGTCACTCCCACACATGCGCACAGGAGTCACCATGGGACAGTTCGGGGCCATTAATTCACTCTAAGCTGCACATGTGCGGCTCAGTGTACATTACAGCTGACATACATGGAAAGTATTTATGACACAACAGACCTATAGGTAAAATCCCTACCTGTCAGCAGTTTAAAAACATGAGTTTGATACCACTTTAATTGTAGAGAGATTAGGCCCAGCCTTGTGGGTGAGACACGTCAGTGGAGGAGGTCCTGGGTAGGTACTCTCTGTTCATACTCAGCCTACTGTCTGGCTCGGTGAAAACAGAAAGTGAGGGAAAATCTCCCTAATGGGTACAGAATTAGGAAAGACTATCAGAATTGATATTTTCTATGAAAAAAAAAGATGGAAATGTAATATTGATTTTTCATCAATACGTTCCTAAAAACTGGTCTTACACGATAGTACATGTTAAATGGAAGACAATGTAATGTACATAATGTTTTTAGGTGTTTATTAAATGTTATGCTCATTGGGTTTTGTCTTTCCTCCAGCAAAGTGACCTGGACAGCACATACCCATCCCTGGATAAGGATATCCAGACCCCGTATATACTGAGCTACCTGGCCAGCAGTGGCCTTCTCAGGAGCCACAGAAGTGTGGAGACCACTACAGAACTGAACAGCGTAGAGAGTCTAAGGAACCTGGAGGAGAACGAGGACGAGCCCACCTCACATCCCAGTCCACCGTCCTCATGTGGGGACACCCTGCCTTATTCTTCCACCCCAGAACTGAGAAACGCATCACACCCCGACAGAGGCAATCAACCGCAGAGCCACGAGACTCTGGACATTTTAAAAGAGACACCCAACCACTATACACACCAGACCATGAAGCCCACACGGCTGGAGTTTGACAAAGACACCACAGCAGAGTCCATAGGAGAGAGCCTAACCAACATAATCCTTCTAGAAGAGAATCCGGAGGACGAGGAGCAGACGTCAGGAGGTGCAGAAAGTGACAAGAGGGATTCTTTAGCAAGTCGGTTGGAGGAGGTCCTTGACCTGATCAGATCAGAAGATGTCACAAGGCAAAAGTTGAAGGACATGGAGCAGTCAGTTCTGAGCTTCAGTGAGAGAGTCAGGGTAAGGGTGACTCAGGGGTGCCTATAGTCCGCCTTTAAAAAACGGAGGGTGACTATGGCTGCCTCTGAAATAATAATATTGTTGTTGATTCAGGATTTGATTATAATTCAATCACAGTGTTCTTGTTATATGCTAATTCAGTGCTCAAGCATTGCTCCCACTCCCACTCCGGGCTCTTACAGATGACTGGTAGTAGGGTGACTGTTGTACTCTTATAGTTGTTGGTTCTAGATGGACAAACCGTCCTTTTCATGTTCTCCATGCCAGTCTTGAAAGGTTGCCTAGAATATATGATTTTGGTAGTGTGATTTGAAAAGTAGCTAAATATTTAGGGCTGTGGAGAGGGGCACTCAAGACAACCAGCCTTGGGGGAAAGGAAGTATAATGACCTTAAATTATCAAGCTGCAATGACACTAAACAACACTAAAGCCACACCTGAATAACATATTATATTGACTGAGAAGCCACTTTAGCATGCCTTAAACACACTTTAAGGTTCCTTAAAATATAACCAAAGGCAAAACTTCTTTTTAGTTTTGGATAGAGTGGAGAGGGATTAGAACCCCAGTCAGTGTTTATTGCAGTCTGTGCCACCTTTAGGGAGATTCATTCTCTTTATTTGTCCTGTTTACCATTCTCATTGAAAGTGGAAAAAAAAATTCCCAAATATTGGGTTGTCCCCAGAAAAGTAATAGAGAGGAAATCTTCCAGTGAAGATACTACTTGTGATGACCTGGGGGTCCCCAAGGAATTCCCTTAATTTGCAGGGATTTCCTTTCACTTCCTGTTCGGCTATGGGACAGGAAGTGAAAGGAAATCTCCCCAATGGCCCGCAGATGGTGAAAATGCTCTATCCAAAATGAAAAAAAAAAAATTTGCCTATAGTTCTGCTTTAAGTACTGCTTGAAGAATCATGGCTAGTGACTTCCGATTTCAGCATTGCGTGATGGAGGCTTCCACCAGTGTTTATGTTTAAAGCAATATGTAATGGGATTGTTTGTGTTAGGTTGAATTCCCTCACGCACTACGCATGTTTACTTTTCATTAACAACAAACCAAACGCCCACACTGCCATCTGAGGGGGATGATGACTGAATCTGTGATAAGGCCTCGGTGATGGCGCAGTCTTCCTGCTGGGATCTGTCATATTCTCAAGTCATAAAATTTTTTATTTCATCCAGCTCAGCATGCAGCTTGTGCTTTAGATGTAGTTGGAGATTGGTTGGCTGCTTAACCCTTTTATTTCTTATCCCTGTCTTGGGGTTCTGCATGCCTGTCATTGCCATGACAAGAGGAATTGCACTACTGGATTCTGAACGTATTCTTCTTAATGGTTAATGAAGCAGGAGGAGTGGGACTCCCTGGTTTGGTTTCATAATGGCAATAGCAAGGAAATAGGAAGCTGGAGAGTGACTTCGCTTATGGGAGTCCACCCAAAAACTGATCTAAAACAGGAGCTTTTATTTAAAGGAGTAGCTGATAGCAACCCGACTTTGCCAGGTTACGTTGGTAAGACACCATTGGCCAGGTAAAGTTGGCCAGACACTATTGGCCAGGCAAAGTTGACAAGACACCATTGGCCAGGTAAAGTTGGTCAGACACCAATGGCCAGGTAACGTTGGTCAGAAACCCTTGGCCAGGTAACGTTGGTCAGAAACCCTTAGCCAGGTAAAGTTGGCCAGACACTATTGGCCAGGTAACGTTGGCCAGACACTATTGGCCAGGTAACGTTGGTCAAAAACCATTGGTCAGACACCATTGGCTAGGTAATGTTGGTCAGACATCATTGACCAGGTAAAGTTGGTCAGGTACCATTGGCCAGGTTATGTTAGTCAGACACCATTGGCCAGGTTATGTTAGTCAGACACCATTGGCCAGGTAAAGTTGGCCAGACACTATTGGCCAGGTAATGTTGGTCAGACACCTTTGGCCAGGTAACGTTGGTCAAACACCATTTGCCAGGTAAGGTTGATCAGACACCATTGGCCAGGTAACGTTGGTCAGACGCCATTGGCCAGGTAACGTTGGTCAGACGCCATTGGCCAGGTAACGTTGGTCAGACACCATTGGCCAGGTAAAGTTGGTCAGACACCATTGGCCAATCCAAGCATCGCCTGCACATGCACCACTGCCGATCCCAGTGAGTTTGGCAGAGGTCTACCATTGAGCTACCGGCCCATCAGTGAGCACCCTAAGGCTGGCCATACACATATTGCTTTTTGGTTATTGCATTCAATCCGATGTAAAGATTCAATCTTCCATAACTTGACTGAACTAGTTTCTTCCCGATGAGGAATAATCTCAAAGCGGTAATGGACAGAAATAACTTTGCAACAATTTACAGAAACATTTTGTCCACCATCTTCCATTTGTCTTCTAGAAATCTTGCTGTGTGTGGCCAGCCTTAGCGCAGTTGAATGCGGATTGGTGTCTGCTCTGTCCGCCTTCATTTTCTCCGATTTTACATTCGTATTCCTACTTTCCTGCAGATGAGTCGCACCGTGCACCAGTCGCGTAGCTCCATGGACAGTTTGGCGGTGGAGACAGTGCTAGAAAGTTTTGACTTCCTCAATACGGATTTCAGCGCAGACGACATGTCGGTATTTGGCAGCATCCGAACTCACAGCAAGAGGTAAAATACACATTGTGTCTGTGTAGAGGCTCCAAATATGTGTAGCATTTCCTGTGTGTGGAGTTGGGAACCCAAACCAAGTCTTCTCTGAAGGATTAAATAATATAGATCAGATGACTGATAGCCATGTAAACATTCCCATAGTATCATACAACACCATAGGGCTTCTGTGCGACTTACCAATGGCCACTGACTGAAGAATCCAGAAACCAACACCCTCCCAGGCTATGGGGTCTGTTTATAAATCTTCTCCCACAAGATTTACACAACCTTCCAAAATATTCTAAATTCCTGTTTTCAAATGTTGATAACATGCTTTAGTTTGCGGTCCAAACTTTATTGTCCTTCAAATTTTAGGGGGGCTGGAATGTGGCCAGGGGGAGTAGAAAATATCCTGCTGTCAATGGGAATAAATAGTGTCTCCTCTTTGGGAAGAGTACTGTCCAATTGTTGGTGTCAGTGGGAGGAATAGTGCCCTATCGTTGGTGTCAGTAGGAGCAATAGTGCCCCATCGTTGGTGTCAGTAGGAGAAATAGTGCCCCATCGTTGGTGTCAGTAGGAGAAATAGTGCCCCATCATTGGTATCAGTGTATCACTGGGAGGAATAGTGTCACATCATTGTTGTCAGTAGGAGGAATAGTGCCCCATCATTGGTGTCAGTGGGAGGAATGGTGCCCCATCATTGGTATCAGTGGGAGGAATTGTGTCCCATCATTGGTATCAGTGGGAGGAATAGTGTCCCATCATTGGTATCAGTGGGAGGAATAGTGCCCCATCATTGGTATCAGTGGGAGGAATAGTGCCCTGTCATTGGTGTCAGTGGGAGGAATAGTGTCACATCATTGTCAGTAGGAGGAATAGTGCCCCATCATTGGTGTCAGTGGGAGGAATGGTGCCCCATCATTGGCATCAGTGGGAGGAATGGTGCCCCATCATTGGTATCAGTGGGAGGAATAGTGTTCCATCATTGGTATCAGTGCGAGGAATAGTGTCCCATCATTGGCATCAGTGGGAGAAATGGTGCCCCATCATTGGCATCACTGGGAGGAATAGTGCCCCATCATTGGTATCAGTGGGAGGAATGGTGCCCCATCATTGGTATCAGTAGGAGGAATAGTGTTCCATCATTGGTATCAGTGGGAGTTATAGTGCCCCATCATTGGCATCAGTGGGAGAAATGGTGCCCCATCATTGGCATCACTGGGAGGAATAGTGCCCCATCATTGGTATCAGTGGGAGGAATGGTGCCCCATCATTGGTATCAGTGGGAGGAATAGTGTCCCATCATTGGTATCAGTGGGAGAAATAGTGCTCCATCATTGGTATCAGTGCGAGGAATAGTGCCCCATCATTGGTATCAGTGGGAGGAATAGTGCCCCATCATTGGTATTAGTGGGAGGAATAGTGTCCCATCATTGGTATCAATGGGAGAAACAGTGCCCCATCATTGGTGTCAGTGGGAGGAATAGTGCCCCATCATTGGTGTCAGTGGGTGGAATAGTGCTCCATCATTGGTATCAGTGTGAGGAATAGTGCCCCATCATTGGTATCAGTGTGAGGAATAGTGCCCCATCATTGGTATCAGTGCGAGGAATAGTGCTCCATCATTGGTATCAGTGTGAGGAATAGTGCCCCATCATTGGTATCAGTGCGAGGAATAGTGTTCCATCATTGGTATCAATGGGAGAAACAGTGCCCCATCATTGGTGTCAGTGGAAGGAATAGTGCTCCATCAGTGGGAGGAATAGTGCCCCATCTTTGGTGTCAGTGGAAGGAATTGTGCCCCATCTTTGGTGTCAGAGGAAGGAATTGTGCCCCAACATTGGTATCAGTGGGAGAAATAGTGCCCCATCATTGGTGTCAGTGGGAGGAATACTGCCCCATCTTTAGTGTTAGGGGGAGGAATAGTGCCTCATCATTGGTGTCGGTGAGAGGAAGAGTGCCACATAATTGGTGTCAGTTGGAGGAATAGTGTCCCATCTTTAGTGTTAGTGGGAGGAATAGTGACCCATCATTGGTGTCAGAGGGAGGAATAATGCCCCGTTGTTGGTGTCAGTGGCAAAAACTATGCCCCACTGTTGCTGCCAGCAGAGGGAATAATGCCCCAAGAGATGGATAAAAGCAAACAATGGGTCGCAGTTTGAAGACCACTGCTTTAGATGAACTACGTAGGTGATATTGCAGCATATCTGAGCATTGTCACTATAGGAATATGAAGGCTCCACAGTTCTGCTTCAGTGTCTGCCTGTGTGTGTGGCTTGTGCAGATTACCTCTGCTGACTATTGTGTGCCTTTGCATGTGTGTTCCAGCAACGGGACCATCAACGAGTCCACTGTTCGGTCCTTCCCTTGTAGCACTGAAGTGGAACACGCTGGACAGAGCACGGGATATGAGGACCTGGACAACCTCCTGTCCATCCACCTGGAGATCTGTAAAGCACTGCTGAAGGTAGGTGACCTCTGCCCAGTCTTGGATGTTACAGGTGGAAGGTTGTTTAAATGTTATGTTTTATAGAGGGCGGAGCTGTTGGCAGATCATATAAAAAAAATGTTATATGTTACATTTGAAGGAAAATAAACACAAGCAAAGGTGATCCAGGTGATTAGCAGTCCATCTATTGACCGCTTAGGGTGAAAGTGCTAGCCCAGCCTACATGCAATCAGAATCCGATGCACTTCTTCGAGCTTTATTTTCTATTCTATTTTGTTTTGTTTTACTCTTTTATTTTCTACTGTATTCTGTTCTCTTCTGTTATTTTCTATTCTGTTCTTTTTTCCCTCTATTCTTTTCTGTTCTTTTTTCCCTCTATTCTTTTCTATTCTGTTCTTTTTTTCCCTCTATTCTTTTCTATTCTGTTCTTTTTTTCCCTCTATCCTTTTCTATTCTGTTCTTTTTTTCCCTCTATTCTTTTCTATTCTGTTCTTTTTTTTCCCTCTATTCTTTTCTATTCTGTTCTTTTTTTCCCTCTATTCTTTTCTATTCTGTTCTTTTCTATTTCTTTATTTTCTCTTCTATTTTATTTTATTCTTGTTTTCAAATTTAAATTGGTTTTTGAGTTCGAAGTTCAGACGAATTTTGTTTTGTTATTTCAGATTCGTTTGAATTTGTTACTATTGTAATTTGGATATATCCAAATCTCTGAATAACGGAAAATTTCGGAACGAAACGCACATGTCTACATTTCCCCCCTCTAGTCACCGCTGCCACTCTCCTCCAAACAAAACCCCTCTCCTCCCCCCAATTCCTGCAAAGAGAGAGCAAGATAGTGAAGTACTAACCTCTCCAGAGCCAAGCCAGTGTCTTCCTTCCTTGTGCGGGAAGCCTACACCCTCCAGCAGTGCGCAGCCTCTTTGGGTTCCATGGCGGAGTTTCACTAGGTTCCCTAGGCGGTACCGACCCCTCCCCTCCTTGAAAATTGCTGCCCTAGGCAAACGCCTTGTTTGCCTTGCAGTAAATACGCCTCTGGGTATGCTCCCTAGGGACCCTGTGAGGTGCTTACTTGGTTCTGCCTACTCTGCATTATAGAGATCCTCATTTATAACTTTTCGAGTGGAATTTCTGATTTTAGCACGGGTCCTGTGTTTGCGGGGAAACATTAGTAGCTCAATGACTTCTCACATTTGTTCTTTAAACTGACCTATGGGGACAGTCCCTATGGGGTTTTTTTCCCCATTGGAGAATAGTCCTCTCTCCAATCCTCCTCTCTCACCCCTCCTCTTTTTCTCACCCCTATGGAGAACCCCCTTCTCTTTCACCCCCTCTAATTTTGTCACCCCCTCTCTTTCTCACACCCTCTCTCTTTTACCCCCTCTAACTTTTTCACCCCCTCTCTCTTTCTCAGCCCCATCTCTCTCTCCCACCTCTCTCTTTCTCAGCCCCTCTCTCTCTCACCCCCCTCTCTTTCTCACACCCTCTCTCTCTCTCTATCCCCCTCACATCCCCCCTCTCTCTCACCTCCTCTCACTCTCTCACCCCCCTCTCTCACGCCCTTTATGCTTTCTGACCCCCCCTCTCTCTCACCCCCCCCCTCTAACTCTCCTCTCTCTCTTACATTCCCCCTCTCACTCTTACATTCCCCTCTCTTTCTCTCACCCCCCTCTCACTTTCTCACCCCCTCACGTTTTCACTCCTCTCTCTTTCACCCCTCTCTCTCACCGCCCCCCCTCTCTCTCTCACCCCCCTTTAACCCCCTTCTCTCTCTCCCCCTTCTAACATCCCTCCTCATGCCCTTTTCTCTCTCAGCCCCTCCCCCTCCCCCCCCCCCCCCCCCTCATCCCCTCTCTCTCACCCCCCCCCATATCCCTCTCTCTTTCTCACAGCCTCTCACTTTCTCACACCCTCTCTCCCCCTCTTTTCCCCCCTCTCACCCCCCTCTCTCTCACCCCCTTTTCTCTCTCACCCCCTTCTCTCCCATCCCTCCTCTCTCTCTCACCTCCCCTCTCTCTCACCCCCCTCTCTCTCACCCCCCCCCCCCTCTCTCTCTCTCCCCCCCTCTTTCTCACCCCCTCTCTCACCCACCTTCCTCTCTCTCTATCACCCCCTCTTTATTTAAGTTAGGATTTACTGGCTTAAACTGGATCTGTGGTGATCTCATCCTTCTCACATTCCCAAAGTCACTGGATATCTAGTCTTGGACAGTTTTCACTGGACCCCATTGAGAGATTTTCCGTTTATTCCTGTTGAGGTGACAAGTGTAACATGTGTGACAGGACCAGGGCTTTCTTTCTGCCGGAACGCGGCGGTACTGCGTTCCGCCACCTTTTTCTTCTTGTCCCCGCTCACCGACTGCCTCTGCAGAGCTGACAAGCTATGCAGAGCAGCGAAAGTGACAGGTGCCGGACGCGGCTTGTTTATGTCATGCTTGCGCGTGCCCGGCACCTGTCACTGCCGCTGCTCACAGCCGGTGAGCGGGGACATGCACGCTTCACCCCCCCCCCTCTACCGCCAGCGTGTAAACATCGGGGGCGCGCGGCCACCCCCATAGGAAAGGTGTATCTTAGTACACCCGGCGGTGCGCGCTGACGTCATCACGCCCTCTGCTCGTCGATCCTACCATAGCGCGGATCGTCAGCATCAGGTAAGGAGCGGCGATACAATTTTTCTCGCTTTTCTTGCTAATGTGGGGGGGGGGCAGTGTTACTCGCTATTCTTACTAATGTGGGGGGGGGGGGGGGCGGTGTTAATTCCATACATTTACTTTTATAGCCCCTCCCAAATTTTACTTGCATTCCTGTTCTCTAAAGGGGTGGTCCTAGGGTTTGATGGGGGCGTGGCCAGGTTTGGGTGGGGGAGTTCCACCACCTTTCCTCTGAGAAAAAAAGCCCTGGACAGGACAAATAAGGAGAATGCATCTAAAACACAACAGGGGTTCTAACCCTCCCACACTATATCCCTTGTGGTTTATTGCAGAAGCTGACGTCCCGAAACACTGCGCGGCTTATACAGAACCATCTTGTGGAGGAGCTGTGCTGGCAGAGAGAAGTCCTGCAGGATTTGTCTATCATCTATTTCCAGAAGTCGGAGGAGAAGGTGTCTATAGAAGACAGTATGTATGACCTTCCCTTCCTTATCACCTCACCTTTTCTACCCAAAAACAAAACTGTAATCTGTTGCATCTTACCATAGTGTCTGCATTAGTTTTCTTTTATTTCTTTATTTTCACCTGGTGATCCTCATTCACAGAACCTGTGGAGGAGCAGCATTGTCACCTTAGGACAAAATTAAAGGACATCTCCCCCTCTCTCTTTCTGCATATCGTAGAAGGGGGGGATTTAACTGGGAGCAAGATATCTGCCTATCTGGCCAACGTCTATAACCCTGGTCTATGATTTGCAGTCCTTTCTTACAATTCTGTGCTGAAATGATGGCTTTGTGTATTAGTCCTGGGCATGTTTAAAAGATTACATGAGTGAGTTTTTGGTTTCTTTGCTGTCTCTTTGCAGTCTTCCCCAAGACCAAAAAGATCCGACATTTCCTGAAGCTGTGGGAGAGCTGTACGCAGCCAGATTGCATCTGGTTCTGCTCGGCGGAAGCCTTCCTTAACCGACTTAAGAAAATGTTTGTGACGAAAATCAAAGGGAAGTTCCCGGGACAGCTGGAGGCAGGTGAGGTGCTGGCCGACATTACTGAATCTGAAGAAATGCGCTGACGCGTTTTGAGGACTCAGCCTCTTCCTCAGAGCCAACCAAGTCTCTGAGGAAGAGGCTGAGTCCTCGAAACGCGTCAACCAGTTGGTCACCCAGGGTTCCATCGTTGTGGACTCAGATGCTATATGGATTGAACACCTTTGATCATTTTGATATGCCTATGTTTTATATGTCCATTGTGAGTATGATACCTACTTTTTTATAATTTCATTAAATATTTTTACAATAATGCACTAGGCCGGTGCGCCCTCTTTTTGTTTTTTCATTTGTATTCACATTCCAGGTGACCTCATGCTGGCATTTAAGCCTTTCCAATCACAAAAATGACTAAACAGATAAAAGCGGCCTGTCAGTTGGAGGTCCATAAAACCTCATAAAAATCCCCGACATACTCTGTCAGATTCCATTGATAGTAACAACAGAGCAATTACAGAGCCTTCAAATAGAATTTGTGCAGATGTCTCAAACCTGCATCCAGCACGGAGCATGCGGAGGCCGTGTCATAGGAAGTGAAGTATTTCCGTATATCGGAGGCTTGGAAATAATGGAGTCTGCAGGCGCTGAGGAGGCGGAAATGTGGTTCGTAGCGTCCGCTCTTCTCCCGGCAGATCACGTTACGTGTACCGCTCTTCCTGTGTTAGGCAGGCTCAGATTCTGAAATGGGCTGTTATAGAGCTGGCTGGACTGAAATGGGAGCGGTGCCCACGCTCGGGAAGGAGGCAGCGATCTGTCGGAATCATTATCCACTTACATCTCTTCCCCCTGTGTTTGTGCTATCGGATTTCTCAGGTGCCCCGTCTATGGTAAAGCCATTATGCAGCTCCGCAGTCTCTGATCCCAGCAGGCTCCACTCCGAGCCGTGTGTGCTGACATTTTCCAGGCTGCAAACAAATCTTCCATGTACCAGATTCAGCGCAGACTACTGATCTGTATCACGTTAACCCATTACAATCAACCCAAACCATCCATTTCTAGCTGGTGACACCAATCACCTGACAAACCTAGAATCTGTAAAGGAATCTATTAGTGACATCTGTTATTAAAGAGAATTCAAACTTCTTATGGAATTTCGCATTGTATTTATGTTAGGAACATTACAGCGGGAGGAGGAAGACTCTGGCAGAACATGGAAATGCAGCAAGTAGATTTCACCGCTGGAGTCCCCAAGCAATAATTTGCCAGAATCCACCCATGACTTGATGTCATATGTAATGAAAGTACAAGTCCCCCACATGTACTTATGGACATTGGCAGTCTCTGTGCACATGACAGGTCCTCTTTGCTTGTAACGTAGCCTGTTTTTCAGGTGAAGAGACTGTAAGTGACGTGTCTGTTTTCTTTGCAGTTTTTCGGAGGACGCTGGAGCAGATGTTCAGTTTTTGGCGGGATCATGACAACAGAGGAGGTTTCGGAGAATGTTGTCTCCATCTTTCTCTTCTACGGGTACCTGCGGCGATACCATGTAGTGGATCTGGAGAAGCACTTTGCTGCACTCACTAGGGAAGGTAAACAATCACTGTATTGTATATTGTGGAAGGCAGCCAGGGCGGTAGGCTTCCAGCTCATGAAACCAGGAGGGAATTGACTACAATTACTAGAAGGGCCCTTACATTCAAAAGATTGTGGAGAGGGGGAGAGGATTTGCGCTACAAATTGCACACAGATATTGGCTATAAAGAGTTCCTGTCATGTGTTGTCAGAGAACATTAAGCCACAAAGAAGACGTTGTCACTACAGGGATTGGAGGGTCTTGTCCAATGTGGTTGCAGATTAGAATGGAGTTGTTAAAAGGGTAAGTTGACCTTTTCATGAAATATGAGAAGGTGAACTGTTTCCTGGTGGTCAACTTACTTGATATAAGTGTGGACCAAAAGATGCCAAGGGGCCTCACATAATATGCAGTGAATGTACTGCTACAGTAAGCTGTAAGAGACTGCAACCGTGATCAGGGACTGCAGAGGTGGCACAGGAGATGGTCAGGGACTGCAGAGGTGGCACAGGAGATGGTCAGGGACTGCAGAGGTGGCACAGGAGATGGTCAGGGACTGCAGAGGTGGTACAAGAGATGGTCAGGGACTGCAGAGGTGGCACAGGAGATGGTCAGGGACTACAGAGGTGGTACAAGAGATGGTCAGGGACTGCAGAGGTGGCACAGGAGATGGTCAGGGACTGCAGAGGTGGTACAAGAGATGGTCAGGGATTGCAGAGGTGGCACAGGAGATGGTCAGGGACTACAGAGGTGGTACAAGAGATGGTCAGGGACTGCAGAGATGGTACAGGACATTGTCAGGTGCTGCAGAGTTGGTACTGGAGGTATTCAGAGACTGCATACATTCTACAGGAGATGGTAAGAGACTGCAGAGGTGGTAAAGAGATTGCTAGACATACTATAGGAGATGGTCAAAGATTGCAGGCATACTACAGGAGATGGTCAGAGACTGTAGAGGAGATACAGGAGATGGTCAAAGACTGCAGAAGTGGTACAGGAGATGGTCAGGGACTGCAGAGGTGTTACAGGAGATGGTCATAGACTGGGGAGGTGGCGCAGGATGTCAGAGACTGCAGAGGTGGTAGATGAGGTGATTAGGGACAGCAGAGGTGGTACAGGAGATGATTGGAGATTGCAAAGGTAGTACAGGAGATGGCCAGAGACTAGGGAGTTGGCCTAAAAATACCCTTCCTTTACTGGATTGAGTAAGTACCAAAACAGACCGTGAGGGCTGCACAGTAAGTAACAAAGGGCTAAATAAGGCACCTGAGTGATGAACTAATATAATAAACAAGATCCCTTGGCATGATAAAGGTTGCTGGGAAGGGAAGTCTGGTTGGGAAGGGTTCTCCTAAAGAATTTTTATACCTTGTGTTCTTGTGACTCAAAAAGTGAAACCTCCAAATTGTCATCATAGTCCAATTTCTTGACATCAGAGCAGCATGGATGATGTGGTGTCTGTGGCTTGTGGCATTTGACACATTTTCTTTTTTTGTTACAAGCCTTTATCTTTCTGTTTCTCACCCTGCAGTCACACTGGTAGGGGGTCTACAACTTCCCGGGAGGCTCAAGAAGATTAAAAAACTGAAGGCGAAGCAGATCGCTCGTCTCCAGCCTCTGCCGCAGTTCCTCAAGCTGGTCGCCACCTTCCAGATAGACGAAAACCTCAAGCTGTGCAAAACCGCCGCCAGCTTCTTCTGCCGGGCGTCTTCCAACAAACATTTCAAGCAAAAGGTAAGAGCGGAGAGCTGCTGTGCTATGAAACAGGGACGGCTCCCTTGTTACAAGAGACTGCTATGCTGTTATAAACAGGAAGTGAAAAAAAAGCTTCTCAGTGAGGTCACAAATGACCATTAAAACCTGCCAGAAGCCCCAACTCTTCCCTCTCTATCATCAATGTAAAAAAGAAATGCTCCAATTACAAACAGCACCCCATATCCAAACATGACTTTGTATGAGGTCATAAAATGTGTTGGGCAGACCAAAGTATTTTGACCACTATAGGTTCTGTAGTCTCTACCTATGTAGAGGATGTTGGGTGACTGATGGCAGGACATGGGTTAGATATACAATGGTCATCCCCTCACTCCCATGATCTTCTGACAGAGATCACAGGATGGGCACCTCAGTCTTTATTATTACAGCAAAATCCATGTTATTGTAAAGTGTTTTTATGCTATATCATATATACTGTATACAGGGCTTTTTTCAGCGGGAATGCGGTCCTGACACCTCCAGCACTGAATGTATGTAATGGTCAAGGGGTGTGCTGGAGGATCTATTGTTCCTGGCTGCTAGGGGATCTATTGTCACTGAAAGGGGTCTATTTTTGTGTGAAGGTGTATTGTTGCTGGTGAGGTCTGTCGTTGTTGGTAGGTGATCTTTTGTTGCTGGAGGTCAGTTGTTGTTGGAAGGGATCTACTGTTGAGGGAGGGGTTTATTGCTGCTGGAGAGTGTATTGATGCTGGCTGTTGAGAGATCTATCGTAGCTGATGGGGGTCTATTGTTGCTGGGGTGGTATTTTGTTTTGGGGGTCCATTGTTGCTGGATGAATCTATGGGTGCTGGGGGGGGGGAGTCTATTCCTGCTGGCTGCTTTTTCTTGTTATTCCCATACACATTCTTTAACACCACAAAATGATACTTGGCTCTGTATTCTCTAAAAGGAGAAGTACTGGGAGGTGGGTAAGGGATGGAACCAAGTGATGGTGCTCGGAGGTGGGTAGGAGGGCAGAGACAAGAAGTGATTCAGAAGAGGGGAGTTCCTGCACCTATTTTGTGAGAGAAAAAGTCCTGACTGTATGTGATGACTCTTCTTTTCCTCCTCCAGGCCTTGCTGTACTACACTGAACTTTTATCCGACAAAGATCCCAAACTGCAGAGATCTGCCTGTCTGGCCCTCAAACATCTCAATGTAAGTGCCCATCCCTACCGCCACATGGTGCAACACTTGGGTGAGCTGCGGATATATGGTGGAATCATTGCTAACCTATAGGTGTCATGAGGTACACATTGCAGGGCATCACAGAATCTATCTAGGGGTGGGCCCCAGGGAAATTGGGATGTCCCCAGCCCTTACTTTAAAGTGACTATGTAACTAAAACATAGCTCCCTACTGTCCCTGACTTTGAGGGACTGTCCCTGATTTCGAGGGACTGTCCCTGATTTCGAGGGACTGTCCCTGATTTCGAGGGACTGTCCCTGATTTCGAGGGACTGTCTCTGATTTCGAGGGATTGTTCTTGATTTGGAACTAAGTCCCTCTGTCCCTCTTTCCCCCTCATTTGTCCCTCATTTTGGTCTGATCTATATAGTCATATCTCAAATGCACTATTTATCTTCCAATTATTTATCTTTCCCAGTGCTAAACCTTTCATCCCGTTTTCATCCCATTTCTGCATTGGTAAATTTCAAAAGCCAGTATAAAGGACTAGTAGTGGTAAAAAAAAAAACACTTGTGGGTTTATCTAATCTTTTTTTTTGTTGTTGTATACTTCTCCTTTGAGGGGGCGTGGCAGGGGGCGTGTCCTATGCCTGCATACTTTTGCTAATAGGTGTCCCTCGTTCCTATCACAAAACGTTGGGAGTTTTGCTAAAGTAATGATATGAACGAAATGCCCTGCAAAGGAAAAAAGTAAATACTTAGTATAATACTTCCGCCATTGATCTCTGCTGTAGTGAAGAGAAGCCCCTAACTCAGCGGTTCTCAACCTGGGGGTCGCGACCCCTTTGGGGGTCGAACGACCATTTCCCAGGGGTCGCCTAAGACCATCGGAAAACACATATTTCCGATGGTCTTAGCAACCGAGACACCACTGCTGTCTCCGGCGCTGTGTGGGCGGGATGATATGCTGCCCCTGTCACCGCCTCCTCGCCGCTGATTGGCCACCGGAATTGTAGCTCAGGAGAGGCACACAGGCGGCCAATCACCGGCGAGAAGGTGGAGCTTGGAGAGGAGGAGCCGAGCGGCAGCGCGCGGAGATCGAAGAAGATCGAGGGAGCTGCAGGAACGAGTGAAGAGAGAGGCCAGAGAAGGAAGACAGCTGACAGGTAAGTGCAAATTTTGCTGCTGCAGCCAGGTATGCAGGCTGTAGATGGGAGAGGGAGAGAGCGAGCCCAGGCTGGAGCAGGAGTCAGCAAGGTAAGTATCATTGGTGTCAGTGGGAGGGATAGTGCCCCATCATTTGTGTCACTAATACCAACGATGGGGCACTATTCCTCCCCTCACTGACACCAACGATGGGGCACTATTCCTCCCCCCACTGACACCAACGATGAGACAGTATTCCTCCCCCCACTGACACCAACGATGGGGCACTATTCCTCCCCCCACTGACACCAATGATGGGGTACTATTCCTCCCCCCACTGACACCAACGATGGGGCACTATTCCTCCCCCCACTGACACCAACGATGGGGCACTATTCCTCCCACTAACGCCAATGATGGGGCACTATTCCTCCCACTGATACCAATGATGGGGCACTATTCCTCCCACTGATACCAATGATGGGGCACTATTCCTCCCACTGATACCAATGATGGGGCACTATTCCTCCCACTGACACCAATGATGGGGCACTATTCCTCCCACTCATACCAATGATGGGGCACTATTCCTCCCACTCATACCAATGATGGGGCACTATTCCTCCCACTCATACCAATGATGGGGCACTATTCCTCCCACTCATACCAATGATGGGGCACTATTCCTTCCACTGACACCAATGATGGGGCACTATTCCTCCCACTGACACCAATGATGGGGCACTATTCCTTCCACTGATACCAATGATGGGGCACTATTCCTCCCACTGACACCAATGATGGGGCACTATTCCTCCCACTCATACCAACGATGGGGCACTATTCCTCCCACTGATACCAATGATGGGGCACTATTCCTTCCACTGACACCAATGATGGGGCACTATTCCTTCCACTGACACCAATGATGGGGCACTATTCCTCCCACTGATACTAATGATGGGGCACTATTCCTCCCACTGACACCAATGATGGGGCACTATTCCTCCCACTGACATCAATGATGGGGCACTATTCCTCCCACTGACACCAATGATGGGGCACTATTCCTCCCACTGACACCAATGATGGGGCACTATTCCTCCCACTGACACCAATGATGGGGCACTATTCCTCCCACTGATACTAATGATGGGGCACTATTCCTCCCACTGACACCAATGATGGGGCACTATTCCTCCCACTGATACCAATGATGGGGCACTATTCCCCCCACTGATACCAATGATGGGGCACTATTCCCCCCACTGACACCAATGATGGGACACTATTCCTCCCACTGACATGAATGATGGGACACTATTCCTCCCACTGACACCAATGATGGGACACTATTCCTCCCACTGACGCCAATGATGGGACACTATTCCTCCCACTGACACCAATGATGGGACACTATTCCTCCCACTGACACCAATGATGGGACACTATTCCTCCCACTGACAGCAATGATGGGACACTATTCCTCCCACTGACGCCAATGATGGGGCACTATTCCTCCCACTGACGCCAATGATGAGGCACTATTCCTCCCACTGACGCCAATGATTGGGCACTATTCCTCCCACTGACGCCAATGATTGGGCACTATTCCTCCCACTGACGCCAATGATGGAGCACTATTCCTCCCACTGACACCAATGATGGGGCACTATTCCTCCCACTGACACCAATGATGGGGCACTATTCCTCCCACTGACACCAATGATGGGACACTATTCCTCCCACTGACACCAATGATGGGGCACTATTCCTCCCACTGATACCAACGATGGGACACTATTCATCCCACTGACATCAGTGATGGGGCGCTAGTCCTCCCACTGCAAAATTACAGTTATGAAGTAGCAACGAAAATAATTTTATGGTTGGGGGTCACCACAACATGAGGAACTGTATTAAGGGGTCGCGGCATTAGAAAGGTTGAGAACCACTGCCCTAACTGAAGAATCTTCAGAATCCAACACCTCTGGGAGTGCCGGATTCTCTGTTTCCTGCACATGGTGGATTGACTTGCGGGAACATTCATGGCTACTGTGTCCTATAGTGGCATAAAGGCCAATGGGAGCAATCACTGAGCCCGGCAGGGGAACAAGACACAGGTACACCCAGAAGTATGTAGAGATACCCTCAGACGCCCTCACAGCCTATTTATGCCTTTATCCTGGAGGTCACTCTCCTTTGTATTGAATGACTTCAGACTGATCTGCAGTATACACATAAATATCACAGAAGTGATTGCTCTTGTCACAAATGTATGCACTTATCTGAGATTTTTCCCATGTTTGTTGGCCAAGGTCATTTATTATGGTCCTTTGTACATCATAAGCAGATTCAAAGACACTTGATAGAAAATATCTAAAGGAAATGCTGTTCACGTCCCTGTCAGCCAATCACATTATCTCTTTAACTCTGCCTGGCTGAGAAACATCAGTTGAAGAATCTCATTGGTTGTTTGGGGCAGTAGAATGGTCCTTCAGACATTCAGTCAGTCCTGTTATACCGGATGCCTGGTATAGACTACTGACGACAAATGACGACTATCTGTCTTGCAGGGGACGGCCAGCATTGACCAGATTGCCTGTTTGTGTCAGTCGGAAGTGGAGGAGGTCAGGAACACCGCCAGGGAGACCATTGTGTCCTTTGGTAAGTCAACAAAATGAAACATCAGAGATATGAGAAGATGTTCTTAAACCCATACTGGAATTGTTTGCATCAGCTCCACCCAAAACCATTTCCTGCTTTGGGAGATGCTGAAGAGTAAAGTCATATAATTCTATCTCTATCTATCTATCTATCTATCTATCTATCTATCTATCTATCCCTCCCATATCTATCTATCTATCTATCTATCTATCTATCTATCTATCTATCTATCTATCTATCCCTCCCATATCTATCTATCTATCTATCTATCTATCTATCTATCTATCTATCTATCTATCTATCTATCTATCTATCTATCTATCTATCTATCTATCTATCTATCTATCATCTATCTATTTATCTCTCTATCTATCTATCCCTCCCATATCTATCTATCTATCTATCTATCTATCTATCTATCTATCTATCTATCTATCTATCTATCTATCATCTTCATTATCTATCTATTTATCTATCTCATATCTGGGGGATGCTACGTTGGAGAGGTCTATTGAGTCCTCATGCACACGGGACGTTTTTACGTTAACTCTTAGAGAGTTTTAACAAACCGTTTCTTCAAAAGAAAGAAAAAAAATTGGAGAGACAGATTAGCTATCAGTGAAAAAAGAGCATATAAATGGCCTGGAGCTTGTTATTTACCTGTAAAAGCCTCCAAATGCCCTCTGAAAAGTGATTCAACCACGATAAATCTGCTTAAAGCCTTCTGTCCACACTGCACTTACATAAGCTGAAGATGGTATGACCAAGGCCTTAGTGTCCTGGCTCATGGTCCTTGCATGAAACATAATAAAGAAAATAATTGTACTTTAGCTGGTTGTTGGAGTAGAAAAGGTTCTTCAACCAGAAGCAGAAGAAGTGTCCATATATACATTTTTTCTGAATTACGCCCCCTGTAGGATACCAGCAGTAATCACATTTTCCCCTTTAGGCAGCCAGAGCGGTGTGCTGCACCAACACTTCTTCTTCCAGACATAGGACGTTGAATGATGTTCTACAAGTTTCTAACTAGAGATCTTGTTTCAGGTCAAAGAGGGCGGCAGGTCTTCAGGAAGACGGACAAGATCTGCCGTGAGCTCCAGGAGACGTTGACGCTGGATGGGGAGATAGAGATCACTGTGTTCTGAAAGAGGCTGCATATACATTTCTCTGCACTTTGTATATTGTCACTCCACACTCGCTGCACAAATATTTTATTTTTCCACACAAATTGGACTTCTAAGACATTTTGGGTTTGGAAGGTATATCCTGATGAGGCTCTCCATTTCCTCCCACGTGCTCCATATCTGGCCAAGGTCTATCCACTCTTGGTGCATGGGAAATGTGATGACTTTGTGTCACACCCCTGCTGGACTATTTCTGTTTCTGTAATGAAGAGGTGGCATCCGCTAAGCCCCCCCCGCCATGACAACGCCAGAGGAAAGTTACCTATCTGTTGTTCTGACAACGATGGGCTCAAGTCACAAAGACCTAAAGAGGAACTTAAGTTTGATTATTTACAGCTGATGACTTTTAAAAATCAGGTACTTGCCAGTGTTTTGGGTCCAGCATTGGTTCTTCTTACTGCTGCAGGTCCCCAGCACCACCATCTTGGATACAAGAGTCAGCTGTGGCTTCCTGAGGAACCACAGCCAACACCCCACTGTGCATGTGCAACCTTGCCTAGCACTTTCTGAATGGTCCTGCAGCCTCCTGGGATCTGTGATGTGTCCCAGGAGGCTGCAGGAGGGGAGAGGACAGTGCAAGGAACACTAGCGCTCGCCTAAGTGAGGATTGATGAAGTGGGAGTGGGTACCAAGAAAAATCGGTACTCGCTCCCCCCTCAGAAAAAAAAACTGAGGGACAGTGCAACCCAACAGGACTTCACTTATTAAGTGAAGGTCCACTTTAAAGCTGAACTCCAGGCTGAGGGCTAAATACAAAGATGGATTACATGTAACGGCGCCACAAGGAAATTCACACATTCAGAGCTGCTTTGATGTGCGTCTTCTATATCTGCCTGGAGTTCAGCTTTAACAAAAGAATAAGGATCGTTATTTTCGTCTCTTTGGAATCTCATTGGACTGTAGAACGAGGCACTTTTTTTTAACAAAACCAAGGATCCTTCTCCTGGCATGTTATCTTTGTGACTTGAGCCTGACATCCATTCTATGTGTGTAGTAGTGAGTAAGGGGGGGGAGAACAGTCTCACTCAGCGGTTCATGTAGCAGTGTGGACGCCTCCGGTGAGATGTGGACGTTCGCTCTGCTGAAGCTGCTGGACTGTGTACATGACAGGGTTTGTTTTTTTTTTTTGTTTTCTTTTTTTAAGTGACACTTTAAAGAACTTCTGTAAATAATGTTAAGGAGAGGAATTCCTGAGCGAGCCGTGAATAGGCATTCAGATCTGTACATTCTATATATAGTTGTGTATATGAAAACGATACATTCCGTATTTTACTTGTGTACACAAGGAGGAAATAAAAGCCTAAATGTTCTCATTGGAGTTGTCCTGTTTGGATCTGTTATCTGTTTAAAAGCAATTGGTGCACATCAGAGATTCAAGTCCTGTATGGTTATTGGGGAATATAATGAAATGATTTGCTCATATTTATATTGAACAACAGGAGCATGTTTTCCAGTGGTAAGGCTCAACCTACATGTTCCACTACGCCTGAGGCCTCATTCACTATAGTGTACACCCGTATGAGGGCTGCATCTGCCCGCACGGGGATATACAAGTGTTCCATGTGTCCCCTCACAGGCACATAACACCTGTGCCTCCCTGTGCGGGCAGACACAGCTTTTGCACGGGTTTGGAAGAAGCTTTAAAGAGTAACTCCACTTTTGTTGAGGGAAAAAAACCCCCCCCTCTGGGTGATCTGTGTACATTGTAGGGATTTTAATAACCTTTGTTGCAGATTCCTACCTTTTGTTCTTCTGAAGGAATACAGTATCTGTTTAGCTGTTTGTTTCTCTGTGTCCATGTGCTGAGTGACTCTGTATGGGAGTGGTGTTATAATGATCAATCTGCTGCACCTGAGAAAAGTGTCAGGTTCTGCATCCGTTTGGGAGTATTTCACCACTAATGACATCTGTGTTACAGGGGATGCCAAAAATGTTACTTGTATCTTAGTGCAGACTTCTGGGAAAATCAGTGAGCCAAACACAGAAGCAGGAAATGACATTTATACTTATATTTCTATAGACCGTCTGTGTCCAGAGCGCCTCCAGGTGGCCATATTGCATTTTACAGAAAATTACAGCGCTGCTGATTGAAAAGGAAAGGTCATTTTTAATAACATCCAATTACAATATGGCCTGAGTCGCCATTAGATACACTATATTAATATTTGTTTTATTTCCTAATTTTGTTTTTTCCCCACAAAAGTGGAGTTAACCTTTAAGGAGATTGTACAATCAGATTAGATAAGTGGGGTGATTTTAAGAGGGAAATTGTCCTCATAATTCTTGTATTTCCGGGACATAGAGAAATCTTCCCAAAAGGGACACATGGAACTACAAAAAACCGTCCCCAATGGTCTGAAACTGAGGTTTGTTTTTTTTTTTGTTTGGAGTTCCAGGATTTGCCTTTCCTGATGATGCCACACCAATACTGGCCACCAGGTGGAAGCACAACACAGCCAAAGATCATAGAGGACTGAGATGTAAGATTCTGGGTTGCACAAAGCTGGCAATTATGTATTTTGTTTCCATCTTTCCCTAGAAAAGTGACCTCTGGGATCAGGTTGCTATGGGAAACGTTCCTGCAGTGTTTAACGAAATATTAGGAGTAACTCTTCTCCATATCATTATAAACAAAGTCAATGAGAGCCAGCGCATCAATTGTCCGGAAGAAGCTTTATTTGACAAGGTGTTGAGCTACAAGCCAGATGGTAAACTTGCTGCCATTTTTCAATAAGTGTCATCCTCCAATAATCTATATATACCTCTCATGAAGGATTAAAAACAACTCTCCTCAGATGTCGTTTGGCTCAGGTTGTCAGTACACATAAAGTTGCCTGGATTTTTTTTTTTGAAGACCTGGGTTTGAATCCTGGAGCCAGAATGAGTACCGAAATGGGGGTGTTGGCTATAGTGATGATGATGATGATAACGACTGTCAGCACTAATTGATCATTTTATTAAAGTGTTGGTTGGTTGGTAAACTCCTGAGCCACAATCTAGAAGAGAAGAAAGAATTCTAAGTCTCGTTTCTCAGTTTTGGAGTCATTTTATATATTAGTCTGGAGATAACAACCAATCTTCGAACGTCAACACTGAATATTACCCAAACCAGGACTTCTCGATGGTGAAGTGGTTTAGCAGCTTTTGAAGTTGCCGGTTCGAAGCTTGGGCCATCTGCTTACATTTGTAGGTGTCAGTGATCACATTTACACTTACTAAGGCTTGAGTGAGAAGCCCCTTGCTCAATGCCCTGGATGGCTTAGAGGTCTAGGGTGAAACCTACAACTCTGTAGAGATATTTAAGTTGCTGGTTCAATTCTTGGTTTGTCTTTTTGAATTTGTGGAAAATTTAACTCTTGAAATAGACAAACCAAGATTTGTTCTCCTATTTGAATTTGTAGGTGTCAGTGATCACATTTACACTTACAAAGGCTTGAGTGAGAAGCACCTTGCGCAATGCCCTGGATGGCTTTGAGGTCTAGCGTGAAGCCCACGACGCTGCAGAGATATTTAAGTTGCTGGTTCAATTCTTGGTTTGTCTTTTTGAATTTGTGGCGAATGTAACTCTTGAAATAGGAGAACAAATCTTGGTTTGGCTATTTGAATTTGTAGGAGTCAGTGATCATGTCACTTGTTAAGCTCACTTCTCAAAGGCCTGGCTGGCCCAGAGGTTTGGCAACTACCACTGACTCACTGGAAGTTTTGGAGTTGTGGGTTCAAGTCTAGCTCTATATCTGTTTGGATTCCAGTCCATGGATAAAGAGCTGGCCAGCTCAGGGGTTTAACAGACTGCCTCTAACACAGCAGTGATTTTAGAGGAGCTGGTTCGAATCCTAAGTCATCTTTTTGGATTTGTGATTACATTTTACTCCTGAAATAGGAGAATGAACACCTCAGTGGATCGAGCAGAGGCGAGTAGCTCAGTGGATAAGAGTGTTGACCAGGGCGCTGTAGACTCCGGTTCAAATCCACACAAGCGCTGTAGACCCTGAGTGCAATTCCAAGAGAGCGCTGAAAACCCACAATGTGTGTTCACAAAGCACTGTAGACTACAAGTGTGAAACCATGAAAAGTGCTGCAGACCCCGGGGGCAAATCTGTGACACACAGTAGACTCGAGCTCAAATCCCTGAGTGAAAGCTTGGAGGCCATGGACAACCCTCCAGTCCCAGGTCCCCACAGGCCTGTAACATGTGTGGGCATCACATTAGGTTGTGGACACCCCGCCTCTTCGGTCCACGGTCTGTGACATCACTGCAACATATATAAATACAATGGGCTGTCTTACCGGGGCAGCCCATTCAAAAAGCAGGGACTTAGGTTTTTCTTGGCCTCACCATATACACACTGCACAGTACCTGAACCCCCCCTGCTGGTGGGATAGAGTAGTGGGCCTCAAACATCTCCCACTGCCCTGTTCCACCAACAGGTACAGGTACTGTGCAGCACCCAGGACACACACAAGGCTTTTCCTCCAAGGGATTTGAACTCCAGTCTGCAGCACACCAGGCAGAGTTCTTACCCTCTGAGCTATCCCCTTCTGCTCGAACCCAATCCTTCCCATTCTCCTATTTCAGAAATCACAATGCACATACTTAACAACCACCAAACAATTAAGTATATAAGTATGAAACCCATTCACAAAAAACACACAGCAGCCACAACTCACCCAAAATTTGAAAAAGAAAGTAACACCTGAAACAAGCATCACCGATGTCGATTAAAGGGGTCTTCCTGGAGACCTGTGTTACATAGGATGGTGACCCTAAGAAATTCCATCTCCAATGTCGATTAGGGGGGTCTTCCTGGAGACCTGTGTTACATAGGATGGTGACCCTAAGAAATTCCATCTCCAATGTCGATTAGGGGGGTCTTCCTGGAGACCTGTGTTACATAGGATGGTGACCCTAAGAAATTCCATCTCCAATGTCGATTAGGGGGGTCTTCCTGGAGACCTGTGTTACATAGGATGGTGACCCTAAGAAATTCCATCTCCAATGTCGATTAGGGGGGTCTTCCTGGAGACCTGTGTTACATAGGATGGTGACCCTAAGAAATTCCATCTCCAATGTCGATTAGGGGGGTCTTCCTGGAGACCTGTGTTACATAGGATGGTGACCCTAAGAAATTCCATCTCCAATGTCGATTAGGGGGGGTCTGCGGTTCAATAACCCAAGCTGGTGGTTCGGCTCTAAATTTGGAGATCTGGAAACTAATCTCTGTCTGTAAAAGATTCCCCTTGTAGCTTCTCTCCTGCTCCCCTGTGGTTCAAAACCAGCAACAGACTGGCCATCCAGCTCTGCTTCCGGGAGACCTGTGTTACATGGGATGGTGACCCCAAGAAATTCCCATCTCACAATGGGGGGAGTTGACACCGCAGTGGTGTTGGAATCCCTTGTTCTGGCTCTGCAACAGACTCGGGTTTTATTATCATTTAGATTTAAGGGGGCAGCAAAAGACACGTTCTACTAATTTACAAAGGACACAGCTTCTTGTAAAGCTGCAAACACAGATGCATTGGTAATAATGTCAGCTTGTCACACTTAAAATGTACGTATAGCCAAAAGTTTATTTTTTAGTTTTTGGAAGGGTTAAACCCCCCCCTTTTTTTTTTTTTGCTGTGTACCATAAGGGAAATGTCCCCTCACTTCCTGTCCCAGGGACACAACAGGAAGTTAGAGGAACTCTCCCAATGTGAGGGGAATTCCCCCGGGAACAGGTGTCCCCATTGGAAGAATCACCCTCACCTTTTGTTCTGGGGAAAACTCTCAAATTTGGGATTTCACCTCACTTTCCTGCTCGATGACAAGGGTCGGCAGGACAAAGAGAGGGTTGAATCCACCCAATGGGGACACAGACAACAATACAAATGTGGGGGTCTAACCGGGAAGGTTATCTAAAACTGAAAAAAAAAGTATTTTTAGATAAACTGCATCTCCAGGCAAAACCTAACAAACCCAAAAAATCAGTTTATCCCCGGGATCTCCACACTTTCCAGTACCGGCGGCCATATTGTATATTTTCCAAATATTTGCAGGATGAGAAAAGATCTTATAAGTCAATGAATAATAAATGAATGGATACGTTTACTTGGACCTTTTCTGGAATCAGCCAGATATCAGTCAGAACAAAGAGAAAGGGCTTCAGTAAAACAAAGCAAAGCCCCCCTTACATCAGAGTCTGCCTCAGGAGTCCCAATCAGAGCCCCCTTATATCAGGGTCCCCATTAGAGCCACCCATACATCAGGGTCATCCTCAAAACCTCCCTTATGCCAGAATACCCTGCTTACATTAGGGTTCTACTCAGAGCCCCCTTACATCAAGATCCCTATTAGAGTCGCCCATATATTAGGTTCCCCCTCAGAACCTCCCTTACATCAAAGTTCCCCTTTTACTTCAGAGTCCTCATTAGAGACACGCATACATCAGAGACCCACTCTTACATTAGGATCCCCATTAGAGCACCATATACTAGGGCCCCCTCAGAGCCTCCCTTACATCAGAGTCCCCGTCTTACAAAGGGATCTCCATTAGAGCACCCTTACATCAAGGTTCCCATCAGTCACTCATACATTAAAGTCCAGCTCAGAGCTTCCCTTACATCAGAGCCTCCTTACATCAAGGACCCCATCAAGTTGCCCATATATTAGGGTCCCTCTCAGAACCTCTCTTACATCAGAGTACCCTGCTGACATCAGGGTCCCCATCAGAGCCCCCTCATATGATGGTTCCCATCAGAGTCACCCGTACATTAGGATCCCCCTCAAGTTTCCCTTACCTGGGAGTCCCTCTTAGAATTCTCCTTTACATCAGAGTCCTCCACATCAGAGTCACCCATATGTTAGAATCCCCCTCACAGCCCCCCTTACCTCAGAGTCCCCCTTAGATACATCAGAGTTCCCATCACAGCCCCTTACATCAAGGTCCCCCTTAGATATCTTCTTTACATCAGAGACCACCTGTCACATCAGGGTTTCCATCAGGACTCACTTACATCAGACTCCCCATCGGTGGTAGGCAATTACCTTCCTTAAGCTGGCTATAGACGTTCATCAGGGACCAGCCGGGATGTGAACCAAGTAGTGGGCAGGCTGAATGTACCCAAGTTGATCGATTGATACAACCAGCCTGTTGGACTTTACAAGTGATTACTGCTGACGGCTATTATAGCCGCTAGCAGTAATCACTGTGTTCTCTCGGCAGCTTCCCACTGGGAGAACATAATGGCTCCGCGGGAGGGATTCCCTCATCAGCTCTGACTGTGTTGATGGGGGAATTGAGTGTTTTCTTTCCCGCAATCGTGAGGGAATCCAACCACTTTTTTTTCCTGCAACCGAAAGAAAGTCGCTCCGTCTATGGCCAGCTTTACAGTGTGGCTGTAGTCAGTGTAGCAGCAAGGTGGGAGCTGGAGCAGCTATGAACAGAGGAAGTTCTGTCCTCCTGCTGGGGCCATCAGGTCGTCAATGGTCCTAGCATCCAAATGCCTTGCAGAAAGACAGCGCAGCGGGAGAAGCCAACCCTGCTGGGGCAAGAATATCTACAGTTGCTAGGATGCTGGCTGTCCTAGAAGCCAAGCGATGGGATGATTACAGTGCAGTGGGGGGAACATGAACCTAGCTGCGGGCCGGGTTTGGTCTGCAGCCATAGTTTGGAGACCTTTGATCCCTTCAGTAAAAAATTAAAACGCAGTCGTCCTTTAACTATCGTGTCAAATCATTCACACGGACATTCAAAGCAAAACCAATAACATTCTGTACAGCAAACAATTTTGCAACCAACCCCTTTCCAAGTCCCAATCGTTTTCCACAATCACTCGCAGCAATGACCAATCGAGTTGGAGGCAGCATGATGGAAGGGAGGAAATAACAGTTTATTGGACCAGCACATAATTCCAACACATTCGAGTGTCACAAGTGCATTTTTGTATTGAGTCAGGCTTAAACAGTATCGTAAACTTCGCTAAACATCATCATCCCCCCCCCCCCCCCCCCCCTCTAATCCCCCCCCCCACCCCCCCCCCCCCTTCCAAACAGCATCAGTAACACGACTCAACACATTGTACTGTGTATAAATGCAAAAGAGGCAAGGAAAAAAAAAAAAAAAAAGCTTATACAAAAAAAATACAGAACCGACTGCCCCGGAGTAGACATGGACCTTCCGCCGTCATTTTTGAAACAAAGCACCAGTTACCCACGGCAAGATGTTGGCTCCACGGGTCAAAAAAAACTAAAGGAGGAGACGTCGGCGTATATTATCACGATAAGTAAGCTCCGCTTCCCAGGCACCGTGTGGTTGAAATGCTGGTGGAGGCTTTGTATTTTGTAGGATCCTGTGGGAAGTTCGTATCAGCACTACTGGCAAACATAGGGATCAAGGTATCGAGAGATATTTGGAGAAGGGGGGAAAAAATTGAAAGAAAATTGCAAAAAAAAAAAAAAAAATTGTAAAAAAAAAAAAAAAAAAAATTTGTAAAAAAAAAAAAAAATTTGTAAAAAAAATTAAAAATTGTAAAAAAAAAACAACAAATTGACGGGGAAGAAACGGATGCTGTTGGCCTACCCTGAGCAAATGGAGAGAAAGCTGCTTATTTCCTAATCTTTAGAAACATACGGTAATGACAATGAAGCATCTGTAACAGTTACGTATAGAGGCACAGCCCACAAGCTTGAGTCAAGAAATAAAAAACAAAAAAACAAACATTCTATACAATCTCTCTGCTGCTTCAACCCCATACTCTAAATTTAATAATAATAATTATTATCATCATGATACAAACCCCCTTTGACAGAACAAGAAAATAAAAAATACATTCCTTTGACACAATCTATTTTTTTTTTAATCTTTCGGGAAGGGGGGGGGGGGGGGCAGCATACCGGGGAGTGAGTCCAATAGAAAAGGAGAATGATTTTGGTTACAAAGATGAAAAAAAAAAAAAATGCGCCAAGCTTGTATATCATGACGCCAGTAAAACATAGCAACACAAAATAAGGTTTCTTAAAAAAAAAAAAAAAAAAAAAAAAAAAAAAGAGGAAAAAAAAATACCTGGTCGATAAAGAAAATAAAAAAAAAAAAAAAAAACAACAATGTGTTGTAATACCACTATTTTATTCCAAAAAAAAAATATTTGGCATTATTTGTTATTATTTTTTTTTTTTTTTTTTTTTACTCCTGAATTGTTTGCAGCCCTGAGATGTGGTTATTTCCTCTGTGGGATTGCAGGGCTCGTCGACACCCCATAATAATGCATTGAGACGCATGGGCTAAAGTTCAGGTTCAGCTGTTCCAGCGCTGCCGCAGTCAAACCGCAGCTTGGCGATTGTTTCATTTTTTTTTTTTTTTTGTTTTTTCCCTCTCATGATTTGGTTTCCAAGTTTGCGTCTCGCTCGCCTCGTACAGCTCGATACCAGGTGGGTGTCCATTAATGGTACCAGACCCGGTAGCATAGGATGGCGCCGGCGGTCAGCACAGTGAACATACAGATGTTTATCACCAGGGACCTCCATTCTTGGCTGTCGTTTTTGTCGTCCGCGGGGCTGGGTTTGATCTGGTCGTCTGTGTCGGGTGAGGAGTGGGTCTGGTCCGCACCTGTGGTTCTCCTACGGATTTCAGTGTCTTGACTAGTGCTGTGCAGAGAAAACAAATATACAAAATTGATGAAGGAGAGCAAGGAAATGGTTAAAGAGAACCTGTACTTACACACATTAACCGCATAAGATCTGGAAGATTTTACCCTCTTCATGACCAGAGAATTTTTCGCTATTCAACACTGCCCCACTGGCAATTGCGCAGTCATGCAATGTTGTACCTAAACGAAATTTATATCATTTTTTTCACACAAATAGAGCTTTCTTTTGGTGGTATTTGATCACCATTGGGTGTTCCTTATATAAATGAGAAAAGATTGAACATTTTGGGAAAAAAAAAAAAAACAGTATTTTTTACTTTCTGCTAAAAAATCCAATATATCGATATATCTAATAAAAATTTTAATTTCTTTAAAAATTTAGGCCAAAATGTATTCTGCTACAAGTCTCTGGTAAAAAAAAAAACAAAATCCCAACAAGTGTATATTGATCTATCTGTGTGAAAGTGATAGCGTCTAGGAACTATGGGATATATGCGCTGGAACTTTTTTTATACTACTAATGGCGATGATCAGCGACTTATAGCGGGACTGTGATGGGCAATCTGACACTAACTGATGCTGGGGGAGGGGGGAACTGACTGACGATGACATCTCCAGTGACACTAATACAGTGATCATTGCTAATTCTATACACTGTCAATGTACTAATGACATTGGCTGGGAAGAGGTCATCTAGGGGCAATGAACGGTGTGCCTAACAATGTGTAATGTGTGCTGCGGTTACTAATAGATGTGTTCTGCTTTGCAGGAAGAAAACACAGCCACATCGCTGCTCCATGTGCAGAGCCCTGTGTTGTTAGTAAACACAGGGCCCTGTACTGTCATTCGCCAAGTCGATCAGCAGGTCCCGGCCATAAATCAATGGCCGGGACCTGCGCTGTAATGAATATCAGACGAGGCAGCGGGCCAGAGATGGTGGGGGGATGGGAAGATAACATGGCACTGGCAGGGATGAAGTGAACCTTGGACCTCACTTGGTTGGAGGAGGGCAGATCCAGAGGTAAGTGTGTCACAATGTACGCTGCGCATTAGGACAAATGCTGCCTACCCCCACCACTTTATATAGTTACCAGAATACAATATTTTACCCCTTTAGTGGACCCTAAAGGGTAACCCCACCTTCGACAGTTATAGGTCAACCAGGAGAACACTCCAGCCACAGATGTGTTAGGGACAACAGGGACTGTGGTACTTGTAGGTCCTGCGACCCGTATGCATATCAAGGCTTAATCTTCCATTTTAAATGGACTGTATATGTAATGATTTTATGGTCTTGCTTGAGGAACCCCCCCCCCCAACACCACCACCAACCCCCCCCCCCCCCATTCCTTTCCAATTAACGTCTTGGCAAAGTTCAAATGCTAACAGACAGTAGAAAACAAATACCACCATCTCCCTAGTACCTACCTTTCTACCGGGGGCTGTGCAGATAGGTGGGCTCTGCCATCCGGTAGGCTCTCCTCCACCACGCTGACTGCCCGTCTGATCACCTCCTCCACCACCTGCTGCGGGAAGAACTCTGGCTGCTCGATCATTCTGCCGTTCAATGTCGTCTCCATCATGCGTTTAGGGGGCTGGGGTGGGGGCGGGGTGTGTTCCGGAGGGGGGTCCATGTCCTCGTTGGACAGTTCTTTCCATTGTTCCTGGGGTACAAACAACACTTAGTAACATCAGTCCAGCCATCTGCCTGTCTTCATTAAAGAGACCCTGTCACCGAGTTAAACAAATTGCAGGTAAAAGCACAGAAAGAGTATTTTAAAAGGCGAAGTTCACCTTTTATAGAAAAAATAAAAAATAAAGAATGCACTTCTTTTTGCAGGTAAAAAAAATTAGCATTTTTTATTTTTTGCTCTGCAGCCTGTAAGGCATTGCACCTGCAATCAGCAGATCACGGGTTCAATGTCAGCCTCCCAGTACACTGTCTGCCCATACCTCCTACAGGCACACAGTTACTACAAGAGCGCTCACCAGCACCCTCATTGAGAACTACAAACCATCGGCCTCAGCGGCCAACAGAACTTGTAGTGTATTCATTCACAGAACTTTGTGAATGAATGACACGGCCTTGTGGGCGGAGCCCCGCACAGCCGCATTGTTTACAAATTGTGACACCGGGTGCGGGGCTCCACTGTCACAGAGAATGGGGGAATCAGAGGGAGATGAGTAAGGCACTAGAACATGTTACTTGTTCTACTCTACATACGAGTAGAACATATAACATGTCCCAAAGGTGAACTTACCCTTTAAGTGTTTACTTGCAGTGTTTTTCCTTTTCATAAATGTATTCTCATTCACTTACAATGTGCCTTTGAACTTGCTACAAATCTGATTCAATTCCCTACCATAGCCCCCTTCCTCCTTACATGTCAAAGCTCTCTTCTCTACTGGGAGTGTCTAATAACTGTCTGTGCTGGCCCAGCTCCTCCCCCACATTATAAGAAAAGAGAAAAGAGGAGTACTAGAGACGGGCACTGGAGTGACAGCTCTGAATCTGCTGACATCACATCCAAGATGGTGTCACCCAGCAGCAGTCTCATAACCTTTAGGATGTCTACACAAGGAAGGTGTTTTAACGTGTAACTGCAAATATATACTTATGGGAAGATTTTTGTGAAAATGAATGCTCTGGCGACAGGGTCTCTGGACATCTGAATTCTGGGTAAACGGCTAATGTACACGGATAAGCACACCTGTACTGAAGAATCTCCCATGATGAATTTGGCGCCCTCGATGACGGCCAGGTAAGAAAAGCGCAGCTGGTCTGCCGTCTGGATGAGACCCATTCTGTATTTCCTCATCTCTAAGAGAACCTGTTTTATGTCCACGGAGGAGGGGTCTTTCCGCTTGTCCATCTGTGTGAAAGACGGGGTGATGTTAAGAATTCAAAGCACAGCGCACCCAGCTGGACACAAATATAAAGAAGAAGGGCCTTCCCATAATAGAGAATACATCAGGAAACATCTGTTTAAAAATCACACGGGCTTAAAACATGCAAAATCTGCACACTGATCTCCCAGAGATCTGCTGTTTATAACACACAGGGCTCAATTCACAAAGCTTTAGCACCAGGAGAGGGGCCTTTCTTTTGAGTCATGTGACTGTAACTTTCAAATCTTATTGGACACAGCTAAAAATACCAGTCATGGTTATTAAAATTAGTATCCTTATCCTGGCGTGTTTGCCTCCTGAATTGAGCTCTGTAGTGGTGAACATTTGCATATCACAGCAAAGAGGGGGAGGGGTCTTCAGGATCTGGGCCTGGACCTTTGACACCCCCTTTGGCTAACCACATGCGTTGCACATTGTGCCAAGGTGAGTGCCCATGTGGGATCCAGTGCCTGAAGTGACATTACAGGCCATCCCTACAGATTGGGGACCACTTCCCACGGTTTTACTGGGGTCGCAATAATCTGGATGCATTTCTTCTATAGTTGTATTAAAAGACAGTGAAGTTGATTGAAGAATCCAAAAAATTAAATAATAAAAAGAGTTAAATGGATGTTAAAGGTTAAAATTAAAAAACAAAATAACAAACATGTCTATACTTACCTGCTCTGTGTAATGATTTTGCACGGAGCAACCCGGATCCTCCTCTTCTCGGGCCCCTCGCTGGCACTCCTGGCTCCTCCTCTTCTGCCAATGCCCACTCCCAAGTCCATAAGGGTCCTTTCACATGGGGCGGACCTGTTTAGAGGATCCGCTTTCTCAGCGGGAATCTCTTCGCTGATCCCCACTGAGCAAGAGGATGACAGGTCTGTGGCTGCAGATCGGACACAGAACAACTCACTCTCTTCAATGGGCGGATGGGTGAAAACGAATCGCCTGTCTGTTTCCATCCAGGCCCGATCTGACAGATGGAGAGGGAATTGGATCCCCAATCGTCCCTTTTTTGCAGGTCGGATCGGTTGAGATGTAGGCGGGTGTAAACGATCCATTTACACCCGCCGCTCCATAGAGGAGAATGGAGGTTCCGATCAGGTCTGCCTGCTAAACGGGCAGGCGGACCTGATCGGCGCGTCCACATGACTTGGCCCTGCTGCTGCTGTCTCTCAGCCATTGAGGAGGCAGAGACCTGGGAGAGCAGCCACTCTAATGCACGTCATTGGATTGTGTGCCTTTGCAAACCGGTGCGTCAACAAGCGCCGCATATTCCTCAGTAAATAAAAAATAGGAAAATCTGCATTGTTGGTCAGTAATTTACGCTGTGTGTACGCAAATATGCTACACAAACGGTTATAGCGGGGAAGTCAAGGATGTTGGTCCACAAAAGTGTTTACAGTGTCCAACCACCTGAAGGTACCAGCCTGTGACTCTGTCTATATATCTATGAATACGCAGCCTGTGTCCTGTACTGTATGATCGAGATATTCGTTTTAGCAAACAAATGTCTAAATTAGGAGAGGGACCTTTAGCCTCATGAATAACTCTAGAATTCTACTACTATACATGGCCAAAGGTTTATCATGTGACCATCACACCTATATGATCCAGTTGGACATTCCATTTTGCAGCGGTGGGCATTAGTTATGAATTGGCCGGCTGTGCTGCTACAACACCCTCCACTCATCTGGAAAGGCTTTCCACAAGATATTGGAGTGTATCTGTGGGAATTCACGAGGTCAGGTATTGATGCTGAACGGGAAGACCTGACTCACAATCGAAATTCCAGTTCATCCAAAAAAATATTTATTGGTTTTGGTGTCCATAATCTTTATGCCAAGATACAATGCTAAACATGAAAATGTGACAAGAGCACCACCTGCTGACTGTAATATTAATATGCAATATTTTCACGTTTTGTTTGTTTAGTAATTTGTAGAAAACTACTGTACATTCCCTTTAAACGAGGTGCAAAAAATGTGACACTCACCAGCAGTAAACAGGTGTCAGCCAGGCAGAAGGTCCCCGATCGGCCGATGCCAGCACTGCAGTGCACCACGATAGGCCCATGTTCGGGGTTCAGGCACCCCGACTCTCGCACCTTGAAGAGGAAATTGAGGAATGATGCTGGAGACTCAGGAACACCAAAGTCCGGCCATGTGGTGTAATGAAAATGCAGAATCTCTCGGGTCTCTTGTGTCTGCAGAACAAAAACAAGAAATTAGCATAGTTTTAAAACCAGAAGCGCCTTCTGGATCTCTAAATACAACCAATACACACTTATCTTTTTTTGTCCCGCAATGTATGTGAGAAGCGAATGGGAAGTTCAAAACCTGACACCGTTCCATATTAAGGGGCCTGTGTCAACCCTTGCACAATGTTGGAGGGACAAGCAACACAGCTTATGGACAGATCAGGTAAGCCTTACAACACACCTTGGCAATCCAGTTAAAGCGGAGCTCCACCCAAAAGGGGAAGTTCCGCTTTAAGGACTGCTGCCCTGCTCCCCATTAAGGACTGGCACCTTTTGGGGGGGGAGCGGGTACCCGAATTTGACAGGTACCCGCTCCCATTTCTGGTCCGATCGCCTAGGAAATCGGAAACGGAAGGTGTCCTCCCTGTGCAGCCACACACACATAACAAGCAACAAAGGAGGCACCAAAAATGGCAGTTATCTTCATAAAACGGCCTGGGAGAGTTCTTCCTCCATTAGTCTAAGTTTTCAAAACAGCTCGCTGAAGGGAATGTGGCCCCGTCTGGAACCAACATGTGTGCAATGGGTAGTCTGTGGTCTACAGAATGTCTACAGAATAGGGATATTGTCTAACTGTCTTCAATGCAAACCAAGTTCCAAAAGCAGTTGACACAAAAAGCAGCCATAGAAAAATGTCTTCCCATTTTGTAATTGTAAAGGGAACCTGTGCTTTGCCCTTTGAGGTTTGTATTTACCTCAGAAGCTTTTTTAAGCTGCCCCGATTGCCTGCTGACCCCACATGGGAGGTGAGCAGTCAATATTAGTATGGTAGACATTTTACAGGAATGCAGAGAATATATAAAGGTAGAAGGATCTAATTGTAATCATCCTAGCTGACTAGAGTGTCTGGATGTTGGCATGTACTGGGCCACTAAGCCACACAATAATTGCTTATTAAAATGACTCTGTCCTTCTGCCTGTAGTGTCAATATTCACTCTCTATCGCTGCCAAAAAATCTGCATCTAATACTTGAGGTGTATCTCCTTCACAAAAAGTGGAATCTCCCTTTCGGTGTCTCCCAAATGTTGCTCCACGGTTTCCTTTCTGTGCACCCCTATTTCTCCTAAGTGTCCTCATTTCCCTCCTATTGTCCCTCAACTTACCCCTAGTGCCACACCACCCCCCTTAATACCCTCAGTACCCACTCAGCATCCCCCAGTTATCTCCAATGCCCTTAATCTTCCCCCTCCCCCAGTGTTCCCCAATCCACCTCAGTGCCATACTAATAATGTTCCCCAAATCCTTCTCATTGCCCCCAATTCCCTTAGTGTCCCCAATTCCACTCAAAATCCTTTAATTTTCCCTTCAGTGTCCCCAAATCTATTTAGGGGTTTCTTAATTTCCCCCAATAATTAAAAATAATTGTTAAAGTGCAGGTGCATAAATAATACACGCTGCAGTGAATGCACACTTTAACATATTTTCTATCACTGCAAAACTTTAGGCTCACAGATGTCTGGTCCCATGCTGAGTGTTGTGGTTCCTTCCGATGTTAGAGCAGTACGGATGTGGAACTCTCTTCCACAAGCAGTGGTGTCTGAGGGAAGTATCAATAGTTTCAAAAAAACTCTTAGATGGGTATCTTAGTGAATGTAATATACAGGGATATGGGACATGATATTGACTTGTACACACAACCACACAGTTTGAACTGGATGGACTGGTGTCTTTGTTCTTTGTGGATGGACTGGTGTCTTTGTTCTTTGTGGACAGACTGGTGTCTTTGTTCTTTGTGGACCGACTGGAGTCTTTGTTCTTTGTGGATGGACTGGAGTCTTTGTTCTTTGTGGACGGACTGGTGTCTTTGTTCTTTGTGGACGGACTGGTGTCTTTGTTCTTTGTGGAGGGACTGGTGTCTTTGTGGACGGACTGGTGTCTTTGTTCTTTGTGGACGGACTGGTGTCTTTGTTCTTTGTGGACGGACTGGTGTCTTTGTTCTTTGTGGACGGACTGGTGTCTTTGTTCTTTGTGGACGGACTGGTGTCTTTGTTCTTTGTGGACGGACTGGTGTCTTTCTTCTTTGTGGACGGACTGGTGTCTTTCTTCTTTGTGGACGGACTGGTGTCTTTGTTCTTTGTGGATGGACTGGTTTCTTTGTTCTTTGTGGATGGACTGGTGTCTTTGTTCTTTGTGGAGGGACTGGTGTCTTTGTTCTCTGTGGAGGGACTGGTGTCTTTGTTCTTTGTGGAGGGACTGGTGTCTTTGTTCTTTGTGGAGGGACTGGTGTCTTTGTTCTTTGTGGATGGACTGGTGTCTTTCTTCTTTGTGGACCGACTGGTGTCTTTGTTCTCTGTGGAGGGACTGGTGTCTTTCTTCTTTGTGGATGGACTGGTGTCTTTGTTCTTTGTGGATGGACTGGTGTCTTTCTTCTTTGTGGACCGACTGGTGTCTTTGTTCTCTGTGGAGGGACTGGTGTCTTTCTTCTTTGTGGATGGACTGGTGTCTTTGTTCTTTGTGGAGGGACTGGTGTCTTTGTTCTCTGTGGAGGGACTGGTGTCTTTGTTCTTTGTGGATGGACTGGTGTCTTTGTTCTTTGTGGACGGACTGGTGTCTTTCTTCTTTGTGGACGGACTGGTGTCTTTCTTCTTTGTGGACGGACTGGTGTCTTTCTTCTTTGTGGACGGACTGGTGTCTTTCTTCTTTGTGGACGGACTGGTGTCTTTCTTCTTTGTGGATGGACTGGTGTCTTTGTTCTTTGTGAAGGGACTGGTGTCTTTGTTCTCTGTGGAGGGACTGGTGTCTTTGTTCTTTGTGGATGGACTGGGGTCTTTGGTCATCCTTACCAACTATGTAACTATGGTGGCTCCTTCATCAGTACAGTGTAGGGGTCGACTGTGGACCCCACAAGGCTCAGAGGACCAGACATCTGACAAACTCACAAGTATTGCATGTAGAAGATTCTTCAGGCAGCAATAGCTCTGCAACAGATTGAACATTGACAGCAAGGGGAGGGGACAGGTACTATGTGTGCTCTTCTACAGGCACTGCTTTGATCAATATTTATTTATCTGGAAATGACAGGGTCACTTTAACACCAACATGCATAAAACCTCCAATAACAAATCTGTGAAATAATGACAGTTTCTGGAAAAAGTCTGTCATTGGTCATGGAAGAAAGATGGATAGCATATGATAGCATAGATGGATGATAAATGGGCTACTCACACCAAGGTTCTCCAGCTCCAGCACACGGATTGTATAATAGGATTTGATGTCTTCAGAAAGGAGGGTCAGTTTCAAGTTTGCATCATCAAACACCATCGGGCTGTCCTCTTTCTTCGGCCAGTACTGTGCACACTTGATCTGCGGGGTACAAATGCAACATTTAGTCAAAAGAGCATTTGTGAGGTCAGGTAGTGATGTTGGAAGAAAAGACCTGGTTCGCAATCATCATCCAACTCCTCCCAAAGATGTTCAGTAGGGGTGAGGTCAGGAATCTACGTAGGACCCTGGAATCATCCACAACAAACTGGGCAAACCATGCTTTGTACTCAGGGGAACAGTTCCAGTGCTGGAACAGAAAGGGGCCTTCACCAAACTGGAACCACAATTAGAAGAACACGATTGTCTAAAATATTATTGTAAGCTGTAAAATTAATAGCACCCTTCACTGGAAGAACCTCAACGATTTGAAGAGGGGTCCACATATTTTAGGCCATATAGGTTGGTGTGGTGGTCAGGAGTCCATATACTTTGGCCCATATAGGTTGGTGTGGTGGTCAGCAGTCCATATACCTTGAACCATACAGGTTGGTGTGGTGGTCAGCAATCCATATACCTTGAACCATATAGGTTGGTGTGGTGGTCAGCAGTCCATATACTGTGGGCCATAAAGATTGGTGTGGTGGTCAGGAGTCCACATATTTTGGACCATATAGATTGGTGTGGTGGGCAGGAGTCCACAAACTTGGGACCATATAGGATAGTGTGGGGGTAAGCAGTCCACATAGTTTGAGACTATATGGGATAGCATGGTGATTTGGAGTTCTCATACTTTGGGCCATATAGGTTGGTGTGGTGGTCATGAGTCCACATACTTTGGGCCATATAGGTTGGTGTGGTGGTCATGAGTCCACATACTGTGGGCCATAAAGATTAATGTGGTGGTCAGGAGTCCACATATTTTAGACCATATAGATTGGTGTGGTGGTCAGGAGTCCACATACTTTGTACCGTATAAGATAGTATGGGGGTCAGTAGTCCACATACGTTAGGTCTGTATGGGTTGGTGTGGTGGTTTGGAGTCCACATACTTTGGGACATATAGATTGGTGTGGTGGTCAGGAGTCCACATATTTTAGACCATATAGATTGGTGTGGTGGTCAGGAGTCCACATACTTTGGACCGTATAAGATAGTATGGGGGTCAGTAGTCCACATACGTTAGGTCTGTATGGGTTGGTGTGGTGGTTTGGAGTCCACATACTTTGGGACATATAGATTGGTGTGGTGGTCAGGAGTCCACATACTTTGGACCGTATAAGATAGTATGGGGGTCAGTAGTCCACATACGTTAGGTCTGTATGGGTTGGTGTGGTGGTTTGGAGTCTACATATTTTGGACCATATAGATTGGTGTGGTGGTCAGGAGTCCACATATTTTGGACCATATAGATTGGTGCGGTGGTCAGGAGTCCACATATTTTGGACCATATAGATTGGTGCGGTGGTCAGGAGTCCACATATTTTGGACCATATAGATTGGTGTGGTGGTCAGGAGTCCACATATTTTGGACCATATAGATTGGTGTGGTGGTCAGGAGTCCACATATTTTGGACCATATAGATTGGTGTGGTGGTCAGGAGTCCACATATTTTGGACCATATAGATTGGTGTGGTGGTCAGGAGTCCACATATTTTGGACCATATAGATTGGTGTGGTGGTCAGGAGTCCACATATTTTTGGCCATATAGAATACATATTGTGCAACACATACACTGGTAGATAGCTCATCTCCTGGCAATACACAGAAGTTGAATCTCACGCTAATGACAGTCAGGAAATGCATACGAGTCACTGCAGCTTTTCCTCGAAGATTTCTGGAATTACTGACTGTACAGGATGGAGCTCTATTCTGGCCGGGCTATATGTATTTCCTGCAGTCTCCCCGAAGACGGTTAGAATTAGTCCTGTCTCATCCTAGGTCTCTATAGCCCACCTTTCCTATGCATAGCAGTACTGTGCCATTGTAGTCACCCAATGGAGGGACAAAACACTTTATTTCTAAGCAAGAAAATATCAAATAAATGAATAATCGAATTCTGTATATTTTCCATTTATAGATTTTATCATTTTGGCTGAAACAGTAATACATTTTCATTAGATTTGAACCCGAAAAAGCTTTTAAAATGGGAGGCATGCCTTTTGGCTGCAGAAAAACCCAACCATCCTCGTGAAAATGAGGCAATCTAGAATCACCACAGCATATTGTATATCAGGCGACTCCAGGCACTCAGCGATAGTCAATATCCGACCGCCAGACCACCAACAAATGGATTTTGCACGGCTCCAAAGATTAAAATACCAGGCCAGGCAATACCGTTCAGCAGCAATGGGAAAGGAAACAGAGGCTGCACATGGTGTAAAATGGCTGAATAAGCATTTATTAAAACAAAGACAAGTACTCATATATTAAAAAAGAGATCAGTGCAAAACACAAACGCCACACCGGCAGCACCTTGACGGGCGTGATGACGTTACCAGTTCAAGACCCTCCCACCGCGTTTCGTCTCCGTGGCACGTCATCAGGGGAACAGAAGCAACGGCTAATATGTGGTGGAGGGCACAAGGTGTTTTTGCTAGTTTATTACAATCATCATTCACTCTGTTGGTGGAAAGCTGTAATTTGCACATTTAAAAATCTGGTGGATGGACTCAGTATTTCTTAAATATTTTTGATGCAACATTTGCAATTGGACTTTAGACGTTGTATACCATATTTCTTTGTTTTTATGTTTGATTTTTCTGGAAGCACACGTGTTTCACATATGTATATTTGCACATCAGCATGTATTCGGATGGTTAATGAGTGCAGCTATGGATATATTAATTACACTGAGTGCAAATTTTTCTTTTTATTATTAATCTAGGATCAGGTGACCCAGGGAACCAGTCACACTGCAGGAACATCCCAGGGTTTCTCCAACCAGTAACATCTGCAATGGCTGTCTTGGAATAACAAAGCAGCCAATAAATCATAGACGGTAATACCGCAAAGCACAACCCTAATAGCCTCCACCAGGACTTGGCTTAGTGAAAGCTCGTCCTGTTACTCTGTGGCTGAGCATTCATGGTTCATCTGGCAATAGATAAATATCCACAATAGTTTATACTCACTGATCCCTTCTCTATGACTCGGTTCAGCATGACGACTCCGCTACTTTTCTGTTCCCACACCATCTCCCAGAAGTGACCGCACGTAATCGGAAGAGGACCCTGTCGGGGACAACAAGACTTCATTATCCAACGGACCATCAGCTACAACATTGGACTGCTCTTTGGATGCTATAGAAGCCTGCGCTTGGGGCATAACAATGCAGAGAATGAATGCTATTCAGTCACTCACTAGGTAGTGAAGCCAGGATATGTTTGGCAGCCCTGGAATCAGTACTATAAAAAAAAAAAGTCAGCAACAAAAACCAAATAAACAATAAAAGCGGTTTGTGTCTTCAAAATCACCCTAAATGCTCCCTTACCCTCCCCGATGTCCCTATTTCCCCCTATTGTGCCTCAACCTCCCTTCCCCAGTGCCACCTCATCCCCTTAGTGTCCTGATTTTTTGCTTAGTACCCCCCAAACCTGTCACCTTCACCCTCAACATCCCCCAATCACCCCTATTATTTCCAAATACTCTTCACTGTCCTTCAATCTAGCTCAGTGTTCCTCCCAAACCCTCTCAATGTCCACTAATTCCACAGTGTCCCTCAGTGCCCCTTAATCCTATCAATGTCCCTGTTCCCCCCAGTACCTCCTCATTACCCTCAGTGCCACTAATTACATGCAATGTCCTTCAATTCCCCCTCAGTGTCCCCCTATTCCTCCAAGTGTCCTCCTGATTCATTTCAGTGCTCCCCAATTCTCCTAAGTACCCCCTCATTACCACCAATTACATGCAACGTCCTTCAATTCCCCCTCAGTGTCCCCCTATTCCTCCCAGTGTCCTCCTGATTCATTTTAGTGCTCCCCAGTTCTCCTAAGTACCCCTCATTACCACCAATTACATGCAATGTCCTTCAATTCCCCCTCATTGTCCCCCTATTCCTCCCAGTGTCCTCCTGATTCATTTCAGTGCTCCCCAATTCTCCCAAGTACCCCCTCATTACCCTTAGTGCCACCAATTATATGCAATGTCCTTCAATTCCCCCTCAGTGCCTCTTAATCCTTTCAATGTCCCTGTTCCCCCCAGTACCCCCTCATTACCTTCAGTGCCACCAATTACATGGAATGCCCTTGAATCCCCCCTCAGTGTCCCCCTATTCCTCCCAGTATCCTCCTGATTCATTTCAGTACTCCCCAATTCTCCCCAGTACCCCCTCATTACCCTTAGTGCCACCAATCACATGCAATGTTCTTCAATTCCCCCTCAGTGTTCCCTTATTCCTCCCAGTGTCCTCCTGATTCATTTCAGTGCTCCCCAATTCTCCCCAGTACCCCCTCATTACCCTTAGTGCCACCAATTACATGCAATGTTCTTCAATTCCCTCTCAGTGTCTCCTTATTCCTCCCAGTGTCCTGATTCATTTCAGTGCTCCCCAATCCTCCCGCTGGCCTCTAAGACCTAAGACGCTACTGTATCCACGAGTCACAAAAGGGCCAGCATATAGAACCATAGCAAGCAGTGGAGGATGCGGGCATCCAACCCTGCCTGAAATATCAGATGCTGCAGAATCAGATGAAGGTCTTGAAGATACACAAGTAAGGACCCATCACCAGAGACATAAGTATTAGTAATGTTCCTTGCAGAGTTTTTTTTAATTTAAATTTCTTTTTCAAGCAACAAATAAGATTTAAAAGGAAACCTATCCAGAGAGGAACATTGGAGCTGCCACTGCAAACTTGGATTAAGGTGACACCATCAATGGTTCTACTTTAAAAAAAAAAAAAAAAGACATTTTTTGGCAAAAACAACTCCCGTATATCTATTCTGGCTGATGACGTTTAAAACTTTGTAACCCCCATGCAGCTCTGTGAACGTTCCTTTTTTTTTTTCCTTTTTAATGCAAGCAATATAAGTATCAGCCTCTAGCAATCCCTGTACAGCAGGGCTGGAATGTGGAAGCAGTACAAAGAGCCAATTAGATCAAGTTCTGACAGGAGGACAGAGCAGAGTGACAGAGCTGCTTCTTGTTTCACAATCCGATCATAGATTTGGGGGCTGGGTCCACGGTGACCTGAGCTCACAAAATGTAGGTTGAATGATGTTGGCCATCAGACTGAGGACATCGAACGGCTAAAGAAGTGCTGCAGGGGAAATATCTGGATTGAAGGTGAATATTGCAGCAAGTTCTGTTTTTGCTATTCTACCTTATAATCTGTGCTTTAATACATTTATGAATGATGTTTAAGCACCACTACCTACCTGTGTCAGTATATAGCTGCGCTGAGCTTCCTCCATCTTGATCAAACTGGCATTGATGTAATCATTGTCTTCTCTGTGTAGCTTAATCCGGCTGTGATCAACTGTGTGATAAACAATACACATAATTAAATCTGATAAACACACCTGTCATGGGTGACAACACCTCTACTGGTTGGTTGCGGTGACCACCGTCACTAGGACAGGAAAGACTGCAGAAAACATTTTACAGTGGTCACTGGGAGAGGACGTGTGGGAAATCTTTTAATGGGGGTCACCTGTCTCAGTGACAAGTGTCCAAAATAGGATTCCCTCTCGCTTTGAAGAGAATTCCTCTCACCAATTTGTAAAGAAAACTGGGGTTTGTTTAAGACCAATCTTACCCTTTAAAGTCAATGTAGTTTTCTGAGGCCATGTGCAACGCGTTTCGAGGACACAACCTCTTCCTCAGAGCCCTCGAAACGCGTTAGAAAGTTGGTCATCCAGGGTTCCATCGTATGGACTCAGATGTTGTTTGGATCATACATCTTGTTCAGTTTGACATGCCTGTGTTAGTATGTTCATTGTGAGTATGATACTTACTTTGTTTCTTTAATAAATATTTTAAACGATAATGCACTAGGTCGGTGCGCCCTTTTTCTGTTTCTCCATTTGCATCCTGGGTTCTGTTGCCACCTTGCGTCAAAAGGACTCCACCACTGGACAGCCAATGGGGGAGAGTCAATATCATCCAGGCAGCAACATGTGTTCCCAAAGTAGGACCTTCCTACCCTAGTCCAGAAGAAGAGAAGAATGGAGACCTGGCATGTCACATGACATTCATTCACTGAACCCAGCGATAAGCGGAGGGAGTTAAGGTTAAAGGGTAGTGGGGAGGAGAAGTTCCCCAGCATGAGCTTTACAGGACACCATGGGACACTGACTAGCAAAAATGTGCTTTTAGTAGGGAAATGCCTTCCACCACTAAACCACCTTTCAAATGCAATTTCCTTTTCTTTATTTTTACCTTTTGTGATTGAACAGATTTTCCCACAGGCCTACAAAAGTGTTAAAAACTGAGCGCTATTTTTAGTCGCCCCAACAAGTGAAAGTGCGTTGTACTCACATGGACTGACGTCTCTATAGCGATTGCGGGACTTGTTCTCCAGGAGTCTCGCCACTTTGCACGGGAAATCGCTGGCTTCATTTCGGATTTCCTGCAAGACAGAAGGATGGGAAGCAGTTGAGGTCTCCGGTGGCGTTAGGTTCCAATGATAAAGTGGGTTGGACCCCCCCCCCCCCCACCCTCAATCCCGGTCCCCCCCCCCCCGCCCCCCAACGTCTAATCTGCTTTCCTTGGCAGCGAGGGCTTTGCTGGTTTTGGCAGGGCAGTCTCGGAAAAGAGATTACATTTAAACAGGAACTATTTGGGGGCAACGTTAGATATTCCAGACAAGGAAGAGAAAGATACATATCAGCGGATCTACGGGAAACCATTGACGACTTACTGAATACATCAACCAGCCTTAAAGGAACAGGCCTGTCGCTGAGGATCATTCGTAAAGGGTAACCGAGGATCAACAATCTGTTCACTCACAGATATTCACATTCATTTTCTGCAATTGTTTACACTTACTACACAACTGACATTTTAATGAGGCAATAAATATACTTGTTTACTGCCTCCTGAGTGTTTTGGTGCTTTTTGGATGTTCACTTTCCTCCCAGCTGGGTAAAAGCTTTAAAGTTTAGTTCCAGGAACACAAAAAAGGAAACACATGAATACTTTGAAGTGGTTGTAAACCTCAGACATGAAATATGAACAAACCACATCCCTCTATAGTGTGGACTTGTCTCACTGCAAAGCACTAAGCGTCATCTCTGTCCGCTGCCTCCTTCCTCTGCGATCAGCATGAGTCACTTCTGACAAGTTTTCCTGACACCAAGAAATAAAAAGGTGACGGGGAGGTAGCTCCAGTGCACAGCCTGTGATTGAAAGCTTCAGCTCTGTTCCTGTGTGAAGGGGGGACGTGCCCCTTCCCTGCAATCAGCTCTCTTAGGCTACGTTCACACTAGCGTTGTGTGCAGGCGGCAGAGAGGCGTTTGGGAAGCGTTTTTACCGCTTCCCAAACGCCTCTGCCAATTCTGCACATTACAGCACATGGTGCTGTTCTAATGGGAGCATTTGCGTCATGTCACGTTGCGTCGCGGCAATACGGACGCCTCTGGTCGAGTCAGGAGGCGTTGAAGCCTCTATTCTTGTCTATGGTGCCGCTCTGCAAACGCCCGGCCGGCGTTTGCAGTGCGGTTGCGACGCGGTTGCGGGGGATTTGCGGAGCGGTAACACCTCTCGAACTGCATTATAGGCGTTTGTGGGGCGTTATTAACTCTCGGCAAACGCCTAGCAACCACCGCTAAACTGCGCAAGTGGCGTTTGCGGAGCATTAAAAAACGCTCCGCAAATGCCGGACCAACGCTTGCCAAACACTATAGGGGTGTTTGGCAAGCGTTGGTAAAACAGCCAAGTGTGAACGAGCCCTTAGTTATGGAGAGTGTAACTCCAGCTCCCTGCTTTCTGAAAGCTCAGACAAGCTGTATAAATTCTGTACTTTGAAGGGATGTAGAGAAGACTGCATATAAACAGGTGCACCTTGTGTAGGAGGATCTGTTTCATCTCTGTGTATCACCTGAGGGCGAGGCCAGTCATTTCACTGGTTAAATAAAAGAGTTTACAACACTTTAAAGTGTATGGGAAAGAGAAATCTTTCTTCTTTAGTTTTTGGATAAAATGGGGGACAATTAGACCCTTTGCCAAGTTTTTATTGCAGTCTTTGTAAAAATGTACCACCCTCTATTTGTCCTAGTCTACCTAAACCACGGTCCCTGAGACAGAAATGAAAGCAGACCTTCATGAAAAGTGAAAGTACTGCTAATCCTTGTTGGGTATCATCAGCACAGTACATGGAAACCATGGTTACTATGAAGTAGGGCTTGGGTACCAAGGTTGTATCGCTCTTTAGAGGGCATCTGAGGTGTTTATTTGTATTTTCTTACTTATATCAAGTACTTATATAGCCGTCAATTTACGCAGCACTTTACATATATATTGTACATTCACATCAGTCCCTAACCCTCAAGGGGCGTACAATCTAAGGTCTCTAACCCTCAAGGGACGTACAATCTAAGGTCCCTAACCCTCAAGGGACGTACAATCTAAGGTCCCTAACCCTCAAGGGGTGTGTACAATCTAAGGTCCCTAACCCTCAAGGGGTGTACAATCTAAGGTCCCTAACCCTCAAGGGGCATACAATCTAAGGTCCCTAACCCTCAAGGGGTGTACAATCTAAGGCCCCTAACCCTCAAGGGGCGTACAATCTAAGGTCCCTAACCCTCAAGGGACGTACAATCTAAGGTCCCTAACCCTCAAGGGGTGTACAATCTAAGGTCCCTAACCCTCAAGGGGTGTACAATCTAAGGTCCCTAACCCTCAAGGGGCATACAATCTAAGGTCCCTAACCCTCAAGGGGTGTACAATCTAAGGCCCCTAACCCTCAAGGGGCGTACAATCTAAGGTCCCTAACCCTCAAGCGGCGTACAATCTAAGGCCCCTGACCCTCAAGGGGTGTACAATCTAAGGCCCCTGACCCTCAAGGGGTGTACAATCTAAGGTCCCTAACCCTCAAGGGGGGTACAATCTAAGGTCCCTAACCCTCAAGGGGTGTACAATCTAAGGTCCCTAACCCTCAAGGGGCGTACAATCTAAGGTCCCTAACCCTCAAGGGGCGTACAATCTAAGGTCCCTAACCCTCAAGGGGCGTACAATCTAAGGTCCCTAACCCTCAAGGGGCGTACAATCTAAGGTCCCTAACCCTCAAGGGGCGTACAATCTAAGGTCCCTAACTCACATTCATACACATACTAGGGCCAATCTAGACAGGAGCCAATTAACCTACCAGCATGTCTTTGGAGTGTGGGAGGAAACCCACACAGGCACAGGGAGAACATGCAAACTCCAGGTATGACCCTAGTGCTGCCAGGCGGAAGTGCTAACCACCTGTCTGAACCACTGACGGAAGGTTTTGGTAGCATTGGGTGCCCCTCAAACAACACCACATCCCACATTGCTGCGCTACGTACCTTCCACTCACTGCCATTCACCACGGTCCCCACTTCAAGGGGCGTACAATCTAAGGTCCCTAACTGACATTCATACATACACATACTAGGGACAATTTAGACAGAAGCCAATTCACCTCCCAGCATGTCTTTGGAGCGTGGGAGGAAACCCACACAGGCACAGGGAGAGCATGCAAACTCCAGGCAGGTGGTGCTGTGGTTGGGATTTGAACCAACGACCCGAGTACTGCCAGGCGGAAGTGCTAACCATTTAACCCCTGTGCTGCCCGCAGGTGTGACAATTTAACCCTGTAAATGCCACGCTACAATCACACATGGCCCAATAGATTTGCATTGGTCACATTCGGCAGGAGTAACCCCAGCCTAAAGCAACATCCTTACTTTTGCATCAGCTGCGAAGCACAGCATAAGGGCACATGTACAACCATGAGTTCCCGCACGCTCAGGTTCACACAGGTGGTAAAACCGTGGCTCAACTGCCTGCTTCTACTGCCCCCTAGCCGCACATGTGAATGAACCCTCAATGTTGTAACACATCTTCATCACTGAGCAGAAAACACGTCTTTTCTTCCCACAAGATGGTGACATCCTGAAGACTGCGGGAAGATGCAGCGTACAAGAGGATGCCATCACAGAGCTGGCCTGTACAACCTTCGGGCACAAGAAGCAGCATGGTGGCAAAGTGTTTACAATTATTTTAGAACCGTCATTGGTGGCCAACCTCCTAATAGTTGGCAGTTTATATGACCTGAGTTGAAAAAAGTGCATCCCGTTGCATTGCAATCTGTCAGGAACACGGCTTGTTCTCCGCTGGTGCTAGGCAAGTGTGGGAAGCAGAAACAGAATTCGTTTTTGTTTCCCTTTTTTTTTTTAATTTCTCTCTACACAGAAAACACCCTTGTTGCAATAGTGGACCCGGGACATTTGGTAGTTTTGTCATTTCTCTGAAATGGGGTGTCAAACTGGCAACCCTCCGGCTGTTGCGAAACTACAAGTCCCATGAGGCATTGCAAGATTGACAGTTACAAGCATGAATCCCAAAGGCTGGGGTAGGATGGGACTTGTAATTTTGCAACAGCTGGAGGGCCACAGGTTGAGCAACCATGCATTAGATCAGGGGTGTCAAACTGGCGGCCATCCAGCTGTTGCGAAACTACAAGTCCCATGAGGCATTGCAAGATTGACAGTTACAAACATGGCTCCCAAAGGCTGGGGTAGGATGGGACTTGTAGTTTCGCAACAGCTGGATGGCCGCCAGTTTGACACCCCTGATTTAATGCATGGTTGCTCAACCTGTGGCCCTCCAGCTGTTGCGAAACTACAAGTCCCATCATGCCTCTGCCTTTGTGAGTCATGCTTGTAACTGTCAATCTTGCAATGCCTCATGGGACTTGCAGTTTCGCAACAGCTGGAGGGCCACAGGTTGAGCAACCATGCATTAGATCAGGGGTGTCAAACTGGCGGCCATCCAGCTGTTGCGAAACTACAAGTCCCATGAGGCATTGCAAGATTGACAGTTACAAACATGGCTCCCAAAGGCTGGGGTAGGATGGGACTTGTAGTTTCGCAACAGCTGGATGGCCGCCAGTTTGACACCCCTGATTTAATGCATGGTTGCTCAACCTGTGGCCCTCCAGCTGTTGCGAAACTACAAGTCCCATCATGCCTCTGCCTTTGTGAGTCATGCTTGTAACTGTCAATCTTGCAATGCTTCATGGGACTTGCAGTTTCGCAACAGCTGGAGGGCCATAGGTTGAGCACTCGTGCATTAGATCAGGGGCGTCAAACTGGCCGCCCTCCAGCTCTTGCGAAACTACAAGTCCCATGAGGCATTGCAAGATTGACAGTTACAAGCATGACTCCCAAAGGCAGAGGCATGATGGGACTTGTAGTTTCGCAACAGCTGGAGGGCCGCCAGTTTGACACCCGTGATCTAATGCATGGGTGCTCAACCTGTGGCCCTCCAGCTGTTGCGAAACTACAAGTCCCATCATGTGTCCTCCTTTGGGAGTCATGCTTGTAACTGTCAATCTTGCAATGCCTCATGGGACTTGTAGTTTGGCAACAGCTGGAGGGCCACCAGTTTGACACCCGTGCATTGGATCATTGGGTCAGTTTGACACCCCTGATCATTCTGTGCATGCCCACAGCTGCATCAATCACTTGGGGGGGGGGGTTGTAATTAACAATAGCGTGCCATTGGAGGCAGCGGCCTACACATTACTGATATCTATACGTTGGCCCTGAGCACCGGCGGAGGCCAGTACGCTTTATTTGCACTTTATGCATGTAAATGTTAGAAAAACACTCACATGTGTAAAGTGTAAAATACGGTCCAAACGCAGAACAGTGAGCGCAGAGATTTCAAGTTTATGCAGCTAAACGGGACGGACCGGAGCTGTGTGTGTGTGGGCCATAGTATATAAAACACGTATAAATTACGGATCGGACTGCAGCGGTAAGCCCATGTGCACGAGCCCTCAAATTGCACGCATGCGATGCAAACCCTGCTGCACTTTTTAAGAGCCAGACGTGAATTGGGGCTCAGAAAGGGTTAAGCCAGCAAGCAGAGGATGTTTGCGGAAGTAACGGCGAGCTTCTTCTCCCCTAGGGTGACTCGTGCGTCATTTATGCAAATGGTGACCCGTAGGGGAAGCATGTCGGAGGAGGATGAGGCCGAAGCAGGAAGATTGGGCAAACCGCAGCTATGCTGCAAAGTGCAATGTCAGCTGATGCATGCTCTCGCCTGCAGGGTATGCTCAACGACACGCAGGACCTCGCTTGTGTCTTCCTGGAGCACTGCGGTCTGAGAAATACAAGAAACATTTCTCTATAGCGTGTAACGGTAGAGCAGTTTGTATGTCTCTATAGAACCCCGAAAACTGGGAGGAGCCGCTAGTAACCGATTTCCAAAAGCAGACACCCATCGATAATTTGCAATGCAATGGGTGAACCTACTGCAGGGGCTATGGGCTCCCCACATGACTGCACTGATTGGTCCAGGGCTGTCATGTGGAGAGGGTCGAGTCTCTCCATAACAGGGGAGGTAATGAAAGGTGACTTCATGTGGCTGGGCAGATTTAAGCAAAACTTGTTGAGGTGCCCTGAATGGGCCGGCTTACGTGGTAATTCTACTTTCAGGAGAAAAAAAATAGCAAAAAAAAGATAATAATACAGCATACACAGTACAACAATTGAATGTTATAAAAAAAAACCTTTTCTTTTCAATCCGCAGGGCTGTCATTTTCTGTATAATGCAATGCAGTAAGGTAACCCAGTGGGGTTCTGGTATACAGAACACCCCCCCCCAGAAATGTCATTTCCTGCGTGTGTGATTGGCTCACTGATTTTCCCAGAAAAAGTCAGATTTTTGGCATCACCTGCAACAAAAATCTAATTTTTTGGGTGAAATACTCCCAAAAGAAAAAAAAAAAAAAAAATCACACCTAAAAGGGATGCAGACCCTGCCACTTTCCTCACTGGAACCCTGCAAGTGCAGCAGCCGATGGATAATGATAAAACCCGTCCCATACAGAGTCACTCTGCACATGAACACGGAGAAACAAACAGCTATTCCTTCAGAATAACAAAAGGTAGGAATCTGCAACAATGTCTGTTAAAATCCCTGCAATGTACATGGATCGCCCATAGGGGAGGGGTTTTTTTTTCAACAAAAGTGGAGTTACTCTTTAAACGTAATAAAAAATAAAAAAAAAAATATGAGGTCGTACTTACCTGCTCTGTGCAATGATATTGTACAGAAAGCATCATCTCCTGCTCTTCTGGCAGTCCCCCACTGGCGCTCTCACCTTCTCCCTGTTCCAGTAGCCTCCTTAGCAAGCCAGATGCCAAGGAGGCACCCGCGCGGGCGTGCTCCTGAGCCGGGCTGTTTCTGTCCATAGATACACACAGCGTCTGTTAGCCACGCCCCTGCACCCGCCTCACAGAAATTTGACTGACAGCAGCAGGAGTCTATTGCTGCTGCCCTCAGTGTCTCCTGTGAGACCAGGAAGTGCGGAGAGTGAAGCTGCAGCTGATTTTGGACCCTAAGCCTCATGGTGTTGTTGATCACAGGTCCCAAACCCTAGGAGTCAATCCCCCACTGGCGCTCTCATCGTCTCCCTGTTCCAGTAGCCTCCTTAGCAAGCCAGATGCCAAGGAGGCACCCGCGCAGGACCACTCCTGAGCCGGGCTGTTTCTGTTCATAGATACACACAGCGTTCGTAAGCAACGCCCCTGCACCCGCCTTACAGAAGTTTGACTGACAGCAGCAGGAGTCTATTGCTGCTGCCCTCAGTGTCTCCTGTGAGACCAGGAAGTGCGGAGAGTGAAGCTGCAGCTGATTTTGGACCCTAAGCCTCATGGTGTTGTTGATCATAGGTCCCAAACCCTAGGTGTCAGTCCCCCACTGGCACTGTGGGAGAGTGCTGGAGCGGTGACAGGAGCCAGATCAGTGTTTCAAGGGGGGGGGAGTTAGGAAAGATAGTGTGGTAGACCCTTCCTATTGGACGGTCAATGGCAAGGTCCTCTCAGGGGAGCAAACCGGTCCCAACATCATCACAAGGGGATGTCATGGGACCTGCCAGCTCAAGGCACCATTAGCAATGGATTAGTGGGCCCGCGCTCTGGAACTGGCGACAGTGAGGGACCTGGATGGGGGATTTTGGTGAGCATTACTGGCTTCACAAGGGGAAATGGGGAAAGCAAGACAGTCAGTATGGGTTAGATGTATCGGGAAGGGAAGGGGGGGGGGGGGGGGGGGAGTTGGAAAAAAAAAAGTATCCCGGAGTGGGGCTTTAAGATAATTGGCTGCAATGGGAGGTGTATCATTTATTTACCTCCATTGTACTATTATTTATTTCAGGTACTTATAAAGTGCCGTCAATTTACGCAGCGCTTTACATATATATTGTACATTCACATCAGTCCCTGACCCTCATGGGGTGTACAATCTAAGGTCCCTAACCCTCAAGGGGCGTACAATCTAAGGTCCCTAACCCTCATGGGGCGTACAATCTAAGGTCCCTAACCCTCATGGGGCGTACAATCTAAGGTCCCTAACCCTCAAGGGGCGTACAATCTAAGGTCCCTAACTTATAGTCATATACATACCCACATATTAGGGCCAAATTAGACAGGAGCCAATTCACCTCTCAGCATGTCTTTGGCGTGTGGGAGGAAACTGGAGTACCCGGAAGAAACCCACGCAGGTACAGGGAGAACATGCAAACTCCAGGCAGGTGGTGCCGTGGTTGGGATTCGAACCAATGACCCGAGTACTGCCAGGCGGAAGTGCTAACCATTTAGCAACTGTGCTGCCCCATCACTTTTTGATTGTGGCCTGCTCACCTATGCTGAGGAAGTCCTACTCTTTCCAGTTCTTCATTGGTAGTGCACATAAGGATCCCCTCACCCTCATCATCTCACAGGGGTTGTAACCCAACAGCAGCAACTGTTCATTAAATACTCCACAGACTGGCCATGTACGAGTACAGAGTTTGTTTTTTTTCTTTTTAAACGAGCTTTCTGTCTTTATTGAAACCCAACCAGGGGCGGACTGACCATTTGGAAACTCGGGCACTGCCCGAGGGTCTGGGGTCAGTAGGGGGCCCCATGAGATGCCCCTGGTACCTTTTTCATAGGATTTTCTGAGTTTGGGCAAGGACACAGGGGCCCCATGATCCCCTATTGCCCGGGGGCCCCATGAGTTATCAGTCCGCCCCTGAACCCAACTATCCCACCAACAACAGCAATCTGCACACATGGCGCATTGCCAATACAGAACAAACACTGATACAGAATTCTGTACATGCCAGCCAAGCACACTGCAGCTCAGAGCAGCCTCAGTGACAGTGAGTGTTTAGTCCCAACACCTGAAAAGAGGGCAGACTGCAGACAGGACCGCGGGGAGCAGCCAGCTCCAGCATGTACACCGTTGTATGTGTAGGCTGGTCATCATCGGGGAGCATGGAATGCAGGAAATATCCCAAAAATCCTCTGTTCAGTAGCCGGCTAGGAATGGTTTATTTCCCGGATCCTGTGATGTCAGATATGGAGGAAACGACATTAATGATACATCCCTGTTGTGACAGGAAACACCAGAATCTTCATTGTGTGATTAAACAGGTATTTATGTCATGTTGAGGCTCCCACAACAATGACACCCTGACACCTGGGGGTCCCACAATGACACCCTGACACCTGGGGGTCCCCACAACACCGCCCTGATACTTGGGGGTCCCACAACAATGACACCCTGACACCTGGGGGTCCCACGACGACACCCTGATACTTGGGGGTCCCAAAATGACACCCTGACACCTGGGAGTCCCACAACAATGACACCCTGACACCTGGGGGTCCCACAAGAACGATACGATGACACCTGGGGGTTCCACAACAACAACACCCTGATACTTGGGGGTCCCACAACAATGACACCCTGACACCGGGAAAGTCCCATGACGACACCCTGATACTTGGGGGGCCCACAACAACGACACCTGGAGGTCCCACAACAATGACACCCTGACACCCGGGGGTCACACGACGACGCCTTAACACCTGGGGGTCCCACAACGACACTCTGACACTTAGGGGCCCACAACAATGACACCCTGACAATTGGGGTCCCACAACGACACACTGAAACTTGGGGTCCAGAACAATGACACACTGACACTTGGGGTCCAGAACAATGACACACTGACACTTGGGGGACCAGAACAATGACACCCTGAAACTTGGGGTCCAGAACATTGACACACTGACACTTGGGGGTTCCAGAACAGTGACACCCTAACACTTGGGGTCCCAGAACAGTGACACACTGAAACTTGGGGGGTCACAGAACAATGACACACTGACACTTGGGGGTCCAGAACATTGACACACTAACACTTTGGGGTCCCAGAACAATGACACACTGAAACTTGGGGGTCACAGAACAATGACACACTGACACTTGGGGGTCCAGAACATTGACACACTAACACTTTGGGGTCCCAGAACAGTGACACACTGAAACTTGGGGGTCACAGAACAATGACACACTGACACTTGGGGGTCCAGAACATTGACACACTAACACTTTGGGGTCCCAGAACAATGACACCCTAACACTTGGGGTCCCAGAACAATGACACACTGAAACTTGGGGGTCACAGAACAATGACACCCTGACACTTGGGGGT